GAAATACCTGGCATTAATCAAAGTACAAAGTGGAGTGATGTGGAAAGTCATGTCAGCTCAGACCCTCGTTACAAGGCTGTAGTCAGTGATTATCACCGAAAGTATTTCTTCGATTTGTTTTTGAGGACTGGAAAGGATGTAAGTTTGTATATTTTAAAAATAATTTAATATTCTCATGACATTTATGAGTATTGTTCCATAGAGTTATTTATAAATAAGAGACAACATTTGGTATTCTGTGTGGTTTTCATTAGCACAGGAATAAAGTAACTGAGGTAACCCATTTACCGTGAAGCTAGAACCAATTAACTTAACTCTCTCACCCCAAGAAAGCCTGTTTTCTGACTTTTACACATTTCTGATGACATGATGGCTTGCGGGAGTGGCCAGTACAACCTTATAACAGATTTGGTACTGGTTGTAATGACATAGTGTGTAGACACAGTGGATATGATTATATTTTTTTTAACGATTCCTTGGAAATGTTAGTTTGGATGACTTACTTACTTACTTACTTAGTCACTCCTCTTCTACCTTGGGGTGTAGAGGTTTGTCAGAGAGATCGCCAGACGTCTCTATCAGCAGTTTTCTTTCTGGCTTTGTTCCATTCCAGTCCTCTGTCAGTTAGGGACTGACGGATGTTGTCTTCCCAGCGCACCCTGGGTCGTCCTAGAGGTCTGGTTCCCTGGTTCTTAGCCTCCCATGCCTGCCATGGTGGCCGATTTTCTCCCATTCTGCTTACATTTTGGATGACAACAATAGATTTTGTTGTCATTATTGTGTCATAAACTGGAAGGCATATGAGTTTGTACTGCACACTCAAAGACTTCATGCATCACTGTAATAATGTTTATTAATTTCATTAGTATACAGTAAAATATATCAGAACAAATTCTGCAGCATATTGATTGTTTCCATGTTCTTAAAATTGACAGTAAGAAATCACTGTTTTAATTACATTTCTTTTAAATATTTTCATTCAGGTAAAGGACAACTTCATGAAAATGCTGAGTGAAACACCTGGCATTAACAAAAAAACAAGATGGGGTTATGTGATAAGTAAAATTGGCTCAGATCCTCGTTTCAAGGCTGTAGACAGCAATTCTTGCCGAAAGTATCTCTACCGTTTGTATTTTAAGACTCTAAATGATGTAAGTTTATAGATTTTTGAATGAATTTAATATTTTTGTGATAATTACTAGTATTGATCACTTGAGGCGTTAGGGTTAGTTTAACTCTTTCAGTCCCAAGGAACGCATCATATGTTCATAGGTTCCTACCTAGAAGCCCAATGACTTGATTTGCGCCGATTTTATTACTTTCTTTACTACCCCCTGTGCCTGTGATGCTAAACCCCCTGGGACTCAAAGAGTTAACTAATAGATAACAGACATCATTGATAATTCTATGTGGTTTTTGCTGGCACAGGAAGGAAGTAACTATCAGGTAACCCATTCACCATGAAATTGGGACTGCATTTAACTCACTTAACTTAACTCTGTCACCCCAAGAAAGACAGTTTTCCTATTTGTGGTTTTTGGTGACATGACATTTTGGGGCAGTGATCAGTACACTTGTATAACAGTTCTGATACTGGCTGCAACTGCTTATTATGTGGATATTAAAATATATTAGGGGCTGCGTGGTCTTGAGGCATGGGGTCCGCCTTGAGTGCTAGTGGTCATGAGTTCAGACCCTGGTGAAGGCTGGAATTTCCTTCTAGTAATTTCCTTTGGTCTGTGGGTAGTAATATCAGATGCCCGTGTGTATTGTTGAGCACGTAAAAAATCACTTGCAGTTGGAAGTTGAAAAGAGTAGCTTAGCAGTGCTGCCCAGGCAAAATTTTGAGTTAAAAATCAACCCATAGTATTTCAGGATCCTCGCCGATGCTAAAGACTTTGTGCACTGAGCTGAGATTCTTGGGACTTAGGCTTTAAGTAAGAAGTTCCCCGTGTAGACTCTAGGGCCTTATTATAGGGAAAACAAGAATGAACCCACTGCCTACCCAAAAGCGTGTCGTACTTGTGTAGGGTCAGAAACACACTGAGCCGGGAATGCAGAGACTGGCCAGCAGGTGCCACGGAGAGGGAAATTCAGCAATTAATTCAAGATAATGCTCGCTCAGAGGGTTTGATCATGTACACAGACAGTTCAGTGTCAAGAGGTAAAAGAAGTGCTTGGGGCTTCTTAGCAAAAGTTAATGGTCGACGTTTGGTGCAGGAGAGCCTAGCATATGATACCACAACATCCAGCTTAAGAATGGAGGTGGAGGCAGTCACTGCAGCTTTCCGCTGGCTAGAGAACATGACACACACACATACACATTGTGATTGTAACTGACTCAGGAAGCATGCTGAGGAAGATCAGGACAGGTATGCTTCGTGCAGAGTGGCATGCTTCTCTGCGGAGGACACGGGTGAGGAGTATTGTCTGGATTTTTTCATTGGGGAACACCGGTGTGTTGAGAAATGAACAGACGGACAAACTGCCTGGCTGTGCACAGCTTGGTGGAATACTGATACATGATAAGGCAGACGTGATTAGTGCCTTGTGGGAGAGCGTGTACAGTTCGAAAGAGCAGATGGATCACACAGTCTGGTGAGATTGATGCAGGAGGTGTGGAAGGGGGGGGGGGGGTGACGAGAGGTTCTGGCAGATGCTCAAAGCTTAGAGGAAAGGCAAGACGGATGTTTAATCAGAATGCTACTGGCACCATTAGTCTTAGAACTCTTCGCCGACTGCTTAAGATGGGGACGGAGCACTTATGGAAATGCCCCGAGTGCTGTGATGTCGGTTGTTGAATCAAATCAAATCATGTCGTAAAAGTCAACTAATTGGGAGCTTCCTTCAAAGTCAGAGTGTATCTGTCTGAGAAGCAAGGAACCAACAGTCTACATACAAATCAGATTTGTAAAACGGATGCACACGCAACACTCAGGTCCTTGAACAGGACTGCAGTCCAGAAGTGGTTGAACAACCAGAATTTTCCGCTAGAGTTTACAGCTGTTGAACACAAAGAAGAAGAAAAAGAAGAAGTTAGAAGTAGAACGGAGCACTTATGGGTTACCACCCTTGTGCCATGATGTTGATTCTTTTATGTTTGTAAAACATTTGATATTATTTGGGACGGAGAGGAAATAAAATCAGTTTTTTTTTTCATTATGATTTCATCACAAACTTATGATGTAGCAGCTTTGCTCTCTGTGGCTGTGTGGTCTGAAAGTCTCTGATCTGCAGCTCGTGACAAGTGGGAAGCTCAACACACAGATGTGAGGTTAAGCAGTCATATACAGGATGGGATGATTCCTTGTATGAGCTCAGTATGAGAGCGAACGTCATGTGTCTGCTCTGCATTTATGGATGCCTCCTTGGATAGTGGGTTAGTGCCAGTAATTTGCCCCAGCCTTCCCTTGAGGGCCAGCCAGTATGCATGTAGTGACCATTGATGGATTCTTCAGGGGCAGCACTTGTAGATAAGGGGACACAGATAACACCAAACAAATAAGGTTACCTCATGTCCCATGAAACTGTCATGGAAGTTAACCCGGTCAACAAATGTGCGTTGAAGTCAAATGTATCGACTGAAAGGGGCAAACATTGCAGCTTTCCTTTAAACAGGCACAACACAGATACATCACTCAGACAAACAAAAAGAAGAAATTGTTATCTCATGGTGCAGAAAGTCTGGCTTGTTTGTATGCAGACTGCTGGTTCCCTGCCTTACAGGCATATGCACTTTGACTTTTAAAAAAACAACAACCAATAATTAGTCAATATTTACGACATGCTTGTGTGGGTGGAGGGAAGCAGTGGATCTATTCCATCCCCAAATGGGGTCCCGAAATCCACACAGGAAAACATGCACATACAGTTTGCAATTGTGTGTCTGAATGTACATGTTTTGTGTGTGTGTGTCTGTAAAGGCTGCATCTGATGACATATGGGACCAGGAAGAACAGAGCACAAGTTTGTCTTTATCCTCGGTGATGGAGACAGATGAGAGTGAGAAAAGCCCTAGAGAAGCAGCTGTTGAGGACTTCAGAAATGTTCTTGTTGAGAAAGTAAATCATTAATTTATTTCTAGCTTTGTGTATGGAATCGCTGATTATGTGTTATGTGCTTAGACATTGTTTACCACAGTTTAGACATTCATTATTTAAATTCCACATTTGACAGCTATCCTTTTTTCTGTGATCATCGTCGTTCACCAATGTTTAGCACAGTTCTTCTTCTTCTTCGATCCTTCTGTCAGAAAACTTAAATCAGGAGGCCGGTAGCCTTTATGAAAGCTATCGTGCAATCCATATCCTCTCGTGTACCATACAGTTTTGTCTTCAGTGTGGTTGGAACAGGCCAGATTGCGTCTCTGTTGTCAGCATACAGTTGACAGTTTTGGAGCACATGCTCAGTATTTTCGGGTGTCACGCTGCAGGGACACATCTCCGTATTTCCTACACCAAAAAATTTGAACATATTGTTGTGCCCTGTCCTTAGTCTGAATATAATACACTGTCCCTCTCTAGAGGGGCGATGAAGTGAGTCTTGGGGAGAAAATCTGGTGTGGGTCTTAAGCTGTTTAGCACAGTAATAAGATACATTGACTGGTGACTCCAGTGTTTACCACAAATAAAATAATTTCATATCTTCATCTGAACAGTACACCTTGTGCAGTAATACAATGATATAAATTATTTTCATGCCACATTTGTTTCAGGGGGAGGGGGGCGGGTGAAAGTTTCTTTTTACCACATAATGGCGCCCAGGAATCCACATGGAAAAACATGCACGTAAAGTGTGCTATTGTGTGTCTGAATATACGTTTTTAAAATTTTTTTGTTAAGGCTACTTCTGATGATGTAAGATGCAGTGAAGAAGAGAGCACAAATTTGCTTATATCCTTGGGGAAGGAGACAGATGAGAGTGAGAACAGCGATAACAAGGCTACATCTGATGACACAAGAAACCAGGAAGAACAGAGCATAAGTGTACCTTTATCCTCAATGCAGGAGACAGATGAGAGTGAGAACAGCCATGGAGAAATAGCCATTGAGGGCTTCAGAAATGTCCCTGTTGAAAAAGTAAATCTTTAATTTATTTCTAGATTTGTGTATACAATCTTTGATTATGTGTAAGGTCTTTATAGAGGTTTTACCACAGTTCAAACATTCATTATTTAAATTCCACACTTGCCATTTATGGGTTTTGTTGTTGTTGTTGTTGGTGACCATCGTAATTCACTAGTGATTAGCACAATAATCAAATAAATTGACTGGTGAGTCCAGTGTTTGCCACAAACAATATTAATTCGTGACATGTCTTCATGTGAACAATACACTTTTTGCAATGATGTGAATTATTTTCATGCCCAGACAAAGTATACTGGTTACCATTGTTCAGGTTTCTACAACAGTGGACATCACTTATAGAGGATAAATGATATGAAATATTTTGCGCACACAATGGATAATTGTTTCCACTGTTTAGGTTTCTACAGCATTGGATGTAGAAATGGGGGGGGGGGGGGTGGGGGGGGGGTGGGGGGGGGGTCTTTTTAAATTTTTAAAGTTTCATAGAAGTTGCAATAACCATGTCATTATCTTGTAATCTGTCATCATTGTTGTAAAGGATGTCAAGACTGTTAAGCATGTGATATCACAGTGCAGTTAAATACAATGATGTCACAATAACAGTTTAAAAATGGCTATCCCACTTTTGACATTCACCAAACAAGAGCAGGGAGCCTTCATGGTGTAGTGGCTAGATGCTCACCTGCTGATTGGAAGGTGGTGGGTTCGGGTCCTGACAGCCGGAATTTGTTTCTTTTCAGAAATAACCTTGCTTCCTTGCTGACCCAGCCTTAAATGGGTACCAGATAAAGTCTTGGGAAATAAAGGCGGTTGGCCTGATGCTGACCACATCACCCATCAGGTGCCGATTGATCTATAAAATATAGACCTAGCCCTATATGCCCAGTATGCCTGAAGACGTGGAGAAGGGTCCTTTACTTTTACTTTTAAAGAGGAGCAGAGTTCTGTTATCCAGTTTTTGATCAGTGTAGTAGTACATTTTACACCACTAGGGCATCACACAATCGACAAAGTGCCACTATGTGGATGAGGATCACCCGTGGGAAAAGTCCCAGGAAACCGCGTTCAGCCATTAGGCCATATTCATGGCCGGGCTATATTGTGGACCCTGGCAAGAGGCAGGGTGGGGTTTCGAAATAAAGAAAAATTGCATCCCACAAAGGGGATGACTAGTGACAGTAATTTTGATCAGTGAGAGGGTGAAAGTGATGATGCATGTCTGTCAATCCAGCAAGTGTATAAGTGCAGTAGGAAGTTTCAAATTCTCACTTTATTTAACTCCCTGTATCCCATAGCACTGTATTTTAAACCTCTGAAACCCAGACACTGATGATTAATATATTTTTAGAATTAAGCAGAAAGTTGGGGGGGGGGAGGGGGGGTAAGAGCAGTGTTTCTATCCCCCACCCTCCCCCATCGCCCACAAAAAGTATGCAATTGTGTTTGTGCATGTACATGTTCATTTTCTTTTGAAGGCTACATCTGATGACATAAGAAGCCAGGAAGAACAGAGCACAAGTTTTTCTGTATCCTCGGTGATGGAGACAGATGAAAGTGAGAAAAGCCCTAGAGAAATGGCTGTTGAGGACTTGAGGACTGTTCTTGTTGAGAAAGTAAATCTTTTATTTATTTCTTGATTCATGTATGGTATCTTTGATTATATGTTATGCCATTAGAGAGGTTTTACCACAGTTTAAACATTCATGATTTGAATTCCTCACTTGCCACTATACTATTTTGTGTGTGACCATCGTAGTTAGCTAATGTTTAGCACAATAATAAGAAAAATTTACTCCTGTGTTTTCTACAAACAATATTTATTCATGGCATGTCTTCATTGAGCAAAGCATTGAAATGAATTCACCACTTTACATTGGATTCATAGACTGTGGAAAAGCTTTTGGCAGCATTGATATGGAATTTCTCTGGGAATTAATGGGTTACTATGGAATCCCACAGAAAATTATTAACTTAGTCAAGCCAAAATATAGAAATATTAAAATAATAATACAAAAGGCAAGAGGAGCTTTCTTAGCGCTAGGAAATTTGTGAAGGTCAAAAGAAATACTAAACTGAAAAATTTACAATTCTGATGTTAAATCAGGACTTTTGTATGGTGCGGAAACGTGAACAACTAAGGTAATTACTAAAAAACTACAGACATTCATTAAGTATTGCCTGCGCAGAATAGAGGGAATTAAATGATATGTGATTGAATCACTAATGTAGAGCTTTGGGAGTGAACTAAATAAGTTCTAGTGGACCAAGAGGTGAAGAAAAGATGCTGGCGTTGGATAGGACACACATTGAGAAAACCGGAGAACAATATAACTAGAATGTCTTTGCACTGGAACCCACAGGGGCATAGGAATAAAGGAAGGCCCAAAAAATACATGGAGAAGGGAGCTGGAGAGTAAAGTTAGAAAGATGGGGAGAGCTGCATGCGATGTAGCAAAGGATAGAACAACTTGACTTGAGTTGGTTGAGGGCCTATGCTCTGTTGGGGGCTAGAAAGGCAGAAGAAGAAGAAGAAGATGTCTTTATCTGAACAGTACACCTTTTGCAGTGATAAAATTATATGAATTATTGTCATGCGCACGCAGAGTGTATTTATTAGCACTATACAGTTTTCTATGACAGGGGACATCACTTATAGATGATAAATGATATGAAATATTATGCACACACAATGGATAATTATTTCCACAGTTCAGGTTTCTACAGCATTAAATATAGAAATCTCAGGGGTAAAAAAAAAAAAACCTAAATGTCTTTTAGAAATTACAATAGCCACGCCATTACATTGTAATCTGCCAATATTGTTGTGAGTGATGTCAAGAGTGGTAAGCATGTGACAGCATGGTGCAGATGAACACGATGATGTCACAATGACAGTTTTAAAATGGTCATCTCACTTTTGACATTCACGAAAGAAGAGCAAGTAGCCGCTATGGTTTAGTGGCAAGAAACTCACCTACGTATCAGAAGGTGGTGGGTTCAGGTCCTGACAGAGCTGGAATGTTTTCAAAAATTACCCTGGCTGCCAGGCCGACCCAGTTTTAAATGGGTAGTAGGTAAAGACTTGGGAAGTAAAGACAGTTGGCCTGATGCTGATCACATCACCCACCAAGTGCCGATTGATCTATAAAATATAGGTCTAGCCCTATATATTTAAAGATAATACCTACAGATAAAACTACTATGGAGAAAGAAATATATTGTAATGAGGAAAGATTGGAGGTTGTGGACAATTTTGAATTCTCGGATCATTTATTACCAACAATGGTGTCACAGTGACAGAAATTAAAGATGACTGTCATTTGCTCTTCAAAGACTAAAACAACTGAATAAATTATGGAGTGGGACAGACAGAACTACAAACATTAGATTTTTAAGAGCATGTATGTTTTCTATTGCAACGTACGCCTGTGAATCCTGGACACTTACTAAACAAGCTGAACAGCGCATAAATGCCTTTAACCCTTTTAGCACGGGAAGTTTTTCAAAGGTCTAGCCAAAAACACGGAGCATTTTTTCAGTGAATTTGGTTATTACTTTATTTAATTTTTTTGACAGATTTCTGTTATTCTGACCCCTATGAAATAATATATCTATTTGAAGGATATAGATTGAAGTTCGTGATTTTCACAATATCGTTAAAATTAATTGATGCATATGCAAATTATCTCATTTGCATATCTAAAAAAAGAAAATATGAATTTGAATTGTCAACTTCAATGCTTGAAACATAAAACTAAAAACAAAAAATTTTTTTATTTGAAATCTTTTTATTGATCTTTGGCCTTTTTACAAATGTTGTAAGCAATTCAATAGTCAAAAACAGGTATATATGTGAAACAGCAATAATATCTTTAGGTGACATGTGTTTTTCACCATCAGTCAGCACTATAAATGGATGTGCCGGAGTGTCAACACCTTCGGGTGGATATACCCTGAGCCATGGTTGGGCTGTGGTCTGAACACAACAGCGTCGCCATCTGATTCCCACTATAACTACTAACACTAAATCCTGCATCAGTATCAACAGAATTAGTGTCAACACTTGATTCAAATGTTTTATCAACATCAAGTTTAGGGGCAGAAACATACGAGTCAGACATACTTTTAGCGGTTCAGTTCACTATCTAAAAAATTCAACAACAATTTTCACTTCGATACCAAACACTCGAAAGTCGCCATGTGTAAAGCTGATACCGCAGTTAATATAAATGAATCACTTTCAGTGTTTCAAAGTAGGAGATTTCTTAGCGGTTCGAGGCGAAACACGATCGGGCCGATCATCGGCCGTTCCATGTTTTTGGCAAGACATCCGCCGGCCGATAATCGGCCCGTCCGTGCTAAGAGGGTTAAATACAAATGTTATAGACTTGTTCAAAAAATATTGTGGGTTAAGAAAAGAACAAGTGCATCCATACTTCAAGAACTGAATATTAAAAAAGGTTGGCAGTTAAAGATGATAAAACAGAAAATTTAAATATTTTGGTCGCTTGAAATGTCACGAAAGTTTGGAGGGAACAATAATGGAGGGGTATATGCCTGGGAAGAGAGGAAGAGGAAGGCGAAAGAGAAGATTGGTGCAGGATGTGACGTATGATCTACAGAAAAGTGTATATGACGCTGGACATCTTGTTTGTGATCAAGAAGTTTTCTGGAGGATTGTTATGGGAGCAAGGTTCTACAAGGGACATGCTGCTGACTGTGCCCTGTATGCCCAGTACGTCTGAAGGTGTGGAAAAGAGACCTTTACTTTTATGTTTAAAGAGGAGCAGCATTCTATTATCCAGTTTTTGATCAGTGAGAGGGTGAAAGTGATGATGCATGTCTGTTAATCCAACAAGTGTGTGAGAGGGTGAAAGTGATGATGCATGTCTGTCAATCCAACAAGTGTGTGAGAGGGTGAAAGTGATGATGCATGTCTGTCAATCCAACAAGTGTGTGAGAGGGTGAAAGTGATGATGCATGTCTGTCAATCCAACAAGTGTGTTAGAGGGTGAAAGTGATGATGCATGTCTGTCAATCCAACAAGTGTGTGAGAGGGTGAAAGTGATGATGCATGTCTGTCAATCCAACAAGTGTGTGAGAGGGTGAAAGTGATGATGCATGTCTGTCAATCCAACAAGTGTGTTAGAGGGTGAAAGTGATGATGCATGTCTGTCAATCCAACAAGTGTGTGTGAGAGGGTGAAAGTGATGATGCATGTCTGTCAATCCAACAAGTGTGTGTGAGAGGGTGAAAGTGATGATGCATGTCTGTCAATCCAACAAGTGTGTGAGTGGAATCAGAGGCTTCTAGTTCTCACTTTAATTAACTCCCTGTATCCCGTAGCATTAGTTGGCTCTGTGGCTTCGAAATGCCGGGGTGCCGGGTTCGATCCCAGCTGCGGGCCTTGCGCCTTGCGTTGGTTTCGACAGTGATATCAGGGGGCCGACCGTCCAGGAAGCAATGGCAAACTACTGGACGTATATTTGCCTAAAGAAACCACACAACAGCCAGAGGCTGCTGGGGTTGGTTCTGCTACGTCCTGTAAAGGATACGCAACTACCAAAATCCCGTAGTATTATATTTTTAACCTCTGAAACCCAAACACTGATGACTTAAAATAATATATTTTTTAATTAAGCACACACACAAAAGTGGGGAAAAAAGGGGGGGGGGGGGGGATGGTATGAGCAGTGGTTCTATCCACCTCTCCTGCCCCCATAAATGGAGCCCCAAAATTCACACAAAGAAACATGCACATACAGTTTGCAAATGTATGTCTGAATGTACATGTTTTTGTCTTTTGAAGGCTACATCTGATGACATAAGGAACCAGGAAGAAGAGAGCACAAGTGTACCTTTATTCCCAGTGATGGAGACAGATGAGAGTGCGAAAAGCCCTAGAGAAGCAGCTGTTGAGGACTTCAGAAATGTCTCTATTGAAAAAGTATATCATTAATTTATGTCTAGCTTTGTGTATGAAATCTTTTATTATATGTTATGTCCTTAGATAGGTTTTACCACCGTTTAAACATTCATTATTTAAATACCACATTTGCCAGCTATGCTTTTTTTCTGTATCATCATAGTTCACCAATGTTTAGCACAATAATCAGATAAATTGACTGGTAACTCCAGTGTGTGCCACAAATAATATTAATTCATGACATGTCTTCATGTGAACAAACACCTTTTGCAGTGATACAATGATATGAAATATGTTTATGCCCACACAGAGTGTATTTATGACAACTTTTCACATTTCTGCAACTTTAAGCTTGTTCTAGAACTTAAATCTAATTTATTTATATGCAGACTGTTGGTTCCTCACCTTTCAGGCCGATGCACTTTATTGGACCAAAAAAAAACTAATTACTCATCTTGTATGATATGCTTGTGTGTGTTGGGTGGGGGGGGGGGGGGGGGGGTGTAGTGTGTCTATTCTATTCCCCACCCCCTCACCAAATGGGGCCACGAAACCCACACAAGGTAATAATGCACATAAAGTTTGCAATTGTGTGTGTGCATGTACATGTTTATTTTTTTTTAAGGCTACATCTGATGACATAAGAAGCCAGGAAGAAGAGAGCACAAGTGTACCTTTATCCTCGGTGATCGAGACAGATGAGATTGAGAAAAGCCCTAGAGAAGCAGCTGTTGAGGACTTCAAAAGGTTTCTTGTTGAGAAAGTAAATCATTCATTTATTTCTAGATTCATGTTTGTAACCATTGATTATATGTAATGTCCTTAAAAGGTTTTACCACAGTTAAAACATTTTTTTTCAATTCCACACTTGCCAGCTATGCGTTTGTCTGTGACCATCGTAGTTCACCATTGTCAGGCACAATAATCAAATAAACTGACTGGTGACTGCAGTGTTTTCTACAAACAATATTAGTTCATGACATAGCTTCATCTGAACAGTACACCTTTTGCAGTGATGTGAAGTATTTTCAGGACCAGATAGTATATACTTATTATTAAAATGTTCAGGTTTCTGAGACCGTAAACATCACTTATAGATGATAATTAATATGAAATATGCACACACAATGGATACATATTTCCACAAAAATGTAGATGTCTGATAGAAATGACAATAATCAAGCCACTATCTTGTACATCTATCATTATTGTTGTGAATTGAAGGTTAGTCTGATCATATAATGCACCAGGAAGAAGAGAGCACAAGTTTGCTTTTGTTTCTGGTGATGGAGACAGATGAGAGTGAGAAAAGCCATGAAGAAAGTGCCATTGAGGACTTCACAAATGTTCTTGAGAAAATAAATTATTATTTTATTTCTAAGTTCATGTATGGAATCTTTGATTATATGTTATGTCCTTAGAGATTTGTTTACCACAGTTCAAACATTTATTATTATAATACCACATTTGCTAGCTATGCTTTTTCTGCACCATCGTAGTTCATCCTAGTAGTAGTCGAAATATTAAAAACAGATGGAAGGAATATTTCAGTGAGCTGCCAAACTGTGGAACACCGGATGAATTACCAAACCAAAATAAATTTGCAAAAAGACTATGAACCAAAGATACTGGAATCTGAAGTTGAAAGTGCCCTTAAACAAAGTAAAAAGAACAAGGCAGCAGGAATAAATGGCATTACAACAGAAATGCTACTTGCATGTAAGACAACAGCAACAGCTTGGTTGACCAGAATATTTAACATAGCTTAGGAGGCACGGAAAGTTCTAAGTGACCGGCAGAGAGCAATCATTGTGCCCATTTGGAAGCAGATCAGACTGCATATGAGACTGTACAGTAGAAGGTGAGAGGAAGGTGAGAGGAAGACTAAGAAGGAGATGGATGAATGGTGTAGATGAAACTTGCAAAAAGTTAAACAAATCCATCACCCAAGCAACCTGAAAAGCACAAGACAAATACAGAAAACCACCACACTGGGCTACAGCCTGGTAACTGTAAGACAGCAAAGAAGAAGAGATCCTAGTTCACCTGTATTTAGTTCTTCTTCTTCTTCTGCGTTCGACATCAGTCATGCTAGACATTGAGTCCCATCTGGGTCACAAATAGGATTGTGCATTTAAGGTCGCCACCGGTCCCCCATAGCTTCTCTTTCAATGAGGCTCCCTTGGGCCAGATCCACAGTCTTTGCTGGGAGAGGTTAGGGCAGTACTGTAGTATGTGCTCAGGGGTCTGACGTTCTGCTCCACAATCACAGGCAGCAGATTCTTTTATGCCTATCCTGTACATGTGTGCTTGAAGACCACAGTGTCCAGTCCGAAGTCTAAAAATTGTTGTTTGTTCTTTCCTGTTGAGTTTGTTTATGCTGTCACTCTCTGGTCTGTAATCTCCATTCTGCCTTTGCCACTCCCGCTTGAAAGACTGCTTTAGCGCTGTTTTGGTTTCCTTGTAGCTGTGTGGTGGATGAGCTCCCAGCTTTTGCCAACTCATCTGCTCTCTCATTTCCTTGAATACCACAGTGGGCTGGTATCCACTGCAAGATCAGTTCTGCTTCTTTGGAGAGTAAGCTAATGTTGGTCCTTAGATCTGCAATTAGTTTGTCTTGTTTTTTGCTTGATAGTGCTTTGAGAACAGACAATGAGTCACTAATGAGTATTTAGTACAATAATCAAATAAATTTGCTTGCCACAAATAATTTTAATTCATGACATGTCTTCATGTGAACAGTAAAGCTTTTGCAGTGATACAGTAATATAAATTATTTTCTTGCCCACACAGAGTATTTATTAGCACTTTTCAGGTTTCTATGACTGTGGACATCACTTATAGAAGCTAAATGATACAAATTGCTATGAACATGCAATGGGTACTTATTTCCACAGTTTAGGTTTCTACAGCATTGGACATAAAATATGAAGGGTCTCTCCCCCCTCCCCACACCACCCCAAAAAAAAAAACCGAAATGTTCAATAGAAATTACAGTAACCATGCCATTATATTGTAACCTGTTATAACTGTCGTAAAGGATGTGAAGAGTGTTAAGCATGTGACATCACAATGCAGATAAACACAATGACAGTTTTAAAATTGCCATCCAAATTTTGAGTTACTGAAGAGGGGCAGTGCTCTGTTATCTAGATTTGATCAGTGCAAGGGTAAAACCTTAGAAATTCATCGGCAGTGAAGGTTCTGTATGGTGATGCATGCCTGTCCAGCAAGTGTATGAGTGGAGTAGGAGGTTTCCAGTTTTCACTTTACCTCAATCTGTCCTTTAGAACTTTATTTTAAACCTCTGAAACCCAAACACTGATTACTTAAAGTAAAATACTCTTAGAATTAGGCATGTTAATGTAACACCTGCTTGGTACCAAAAGAGTTAATTGCCACTTATGCTGTTGATATTTTTGAGAATTTTGTCAGCCTTTGATGTTTATGTTAAAAAAGTTGTTATCCCATATGGAGACTGTATGCACATCTTCTTTTTGGTGCTCACTGGCTGTAAACGCTGGCAGAAAGGTCTTGTTCATCTACTTCTGCCTTTTAGGCTTGTTTTGGTACTTGAGCTTTTCAATCATTTCCATTTCTGTTTTTCAGGCCCGGTTGCCTTTCAGGCACATGCAGTTCGACTTTGAAGGAGAACCCCTAATTGGGGAAAGAGGGGGGGGGGGGGGTGTCTGTTCTTTTTACCACAATATGAGGCCTTACGGAACCCATATGGAAAAACATGCACATATTGCTGTCATGTGTCTGAATATACATGTTTATTCTTTTTAAGGCTACTTCTGATGACATAAAGAGCAGTGAAGAAGAGAGCACACATTTGCCTCTATCATTGATGCAGGAGACAGATGAGAGTGAGAACAGCCATAACAAGGCTGCATCTGATGACACAAGAAACCAGGAAGAACAGAGCATAAGCATATCTTTATCCTCAGTGAAGGAGGCAGATGAGAGTGAGAAAAACCCTAGAGAAACGGCTGTTGAGGACTTCAAGAAGTTTCTTCTTGAGAAAGTAAATCATTAGTTTTTTTTTCTAGATTTGTGTATGGAATCTTTGATTATATGCAATTTCCTAAGAGAGGTTTAACCACAGTTTAAAAATTAATTTTTTTTTATTCTACACTTGCCAGCTAAGCTTTTTTCTTTCTATGACTATTATAGTTAACAGTTGTTTAGCACAACAATTCAATAAATTGACTGGTGAACTCTGGTGCTTGCCACAAATAATATTAATTCAAGACATGTCTCAATCTTAACAATACACTTTTTGGACATGATCCATTGATATGTAATATTATTATACCCCCACAATGTATGCTTATTTCCACTGTTGATGTGTCTACAACAGTCAACATCACTTATAGATATTCTTCTGCCTTTGTAGCCCCCACTGGAGCATAGGCCCTCAACCAACTCACGCCAAGTCGTTCTATCCTTCGCTGTCGCATGCACCTGTCCCTTTGTCCTTTTTTAACTTCACTCTCTATCTCCCTTTTCCATGTGTTTTTTGGTCTTCCTTTATTTCTATGCACCTGTGGGTTCCAGTGCAAAGTAATTCTATTTTTTTACTGTTATAGATACTGCAGTAGGGACCACCTTAGCACAGTCGATAAGAGGCTCGCTTTCAAATCCAGCTGCGACTCGCTGCAGCCACGGTCGGTGTTTGAAACCGGGCGGCTCTCGGGGTTCACCCAGCCTCCAGGAAATGGGTACCAGAGTTAACACTCTGGGGTAAATGGAAGAACGTCGCTGTAGCTACGGAGTTACGTGCGGACGGCGATACAGGCGGACAGTTTCTTATCAGCTGACCGTACTGGTGGCAGAGCACTTATGGTTTATAAACGTGTGCAATGAGGCTGGTTGACATCTCCTGACTTTACCTTCATCTTTAGATATTGCAGTGATATAACTTCTAAGAATGAATTGTACTTTTTTTATCTTTGACCGCTTTTAGATCGTCTTTCTTAACCAAGACATGGTTTAGATGAGTTTAGGTTTGCACTGTTTTTGTATATTTGATATTGTCATTTGTTTATAATAAACATTTGCAGGTAAAACATTCTGAAAGTTCATTTGAAAGTTTCAAGTTCAGATTTGATAGAGATCCTGAATGGACAATGGAACTTACTGATGCAGAAAAGAAAACCCTCTATGACAGTCATATTGATGAAATTAACACAATGATTCTGCATGAAACTGAAGTAAGATGTGATTCTTCTTTTATCATGGTCATGTGTTTGTAGTTGAAGTGATTGACTGCAAATGTCTTTTCATGAATCATAAAGAATTTGTGAATTATAGAACTGTAGGGTGGACACTTATTAAAAGTAGAGTACAGGACTAGCCACTGTGGTGTAGGTTTATTAGTAGGTGTGTATGTTTACAGTGTCTTTGTTGGAGATCACTGTTCCTGTGTGTGTGTGTGTGTGTGTTCGGGGGCCCTATTGGGGGGGGGGGGGGGAGTACAGACCCGCTGCTCTCTAAGTAAGAGGCATATTATAAAAGGGAACTAGTTATGTGTGTTCTTTGAAATGGCCGCACTTGCCTGAGAGGCGAGGAAATAACAGTCTGCATACAAATAAACCAGATCTGTAAAATAGATATGCACACAAAACTCAGTTCTGGAACAAGACCAGAAGTGGACCCAAAACAAACAAAAAAGAATTTTCTGCCTTTTTACACCCAGTGAGTGTGAAGAAGAGAAAGAAAAAGACAATCAATAAAGTCAGGTCCAGTCTTATAACATTGCTATCTTACAGGCTAAGGTATTAAATTTTAATTTTCGCTTTCATTTTATATACACACACACACACACAACCCCCCCCCCCCCCCCCCACGGTGAAGAAAATGGTTTTTTTAAACTGACTAATATCTTAAGTTCTATGTCACTAGGATTCAAAGAAGCAAAAAATAGTTTTACTTATATTCTATAAAATATGCATAAGAGGCGGTTAAGGAATTTTGGCTGGAGGGTTGGCTAGCCCATCTCATAGAAAAGCTTGGCTATCTTCCAAATAACGGTCCAAAATTATCTACGCAGAAAATAATCCCTAACAGGGCCTCATCACGTGTCAATTGCGCAGTTCCGTCGTCTTGAAATAATTGCGTGAGCGGCGTGGGGAGTACTCTCGGTGGAAGGCGCCGGAAGTTCGCAATTCAGCGGCGCCGGTATAGTCCCCGGAAGTACGCAATTGACACGTGACTGAGGCCCTGTTGAGGAATATTTTCTGCGTAGATACTTTGGGACCGGTATTTGGAAGATAGCCAAAAGCTTTATTGCTATATTCTGTTCAATTCCGGAGGACAAATTTTAGATTACAGTGTGGTTTTCCTGATCTTGCATGTATATTTATTGTGAAAAGTGGCTGAACAAGCAGTTAGAATGCTTGGTTATCATGCAAAAGACCTAAGTTCAAATCCTCAGTAAGGTGGCTGACATTTTTCTGTTGGGTTGGAACCAGAGTTAAAAATCCTTACTTGCGTTGTTCATGGCAACTGCACTAACAGTATGGTTCTTCCTTGGTGGGTTCCAGGGCCCTATTACAGGGAAAACAAGAATAAACCCTCTGCCTACCCAAAAGCATGTCGTAAGAGTCGACTAATTGGGAGCTTCCTTTGAAGTCGGAGTGCATCTGCCTGAGAGGCAAAGAACCAGCGGTCTGCATACAAATTAGATCTATGAAATGGATGCACACGCAACACTCAGGTTCTGGAATAGGACTGCAGTCCAGAAGTGGAGGAACAACTAGAACTTTCCGCTGGAGTTTGCAGCGGGTGAACGCGAAGAAGAAGAAAAAGAAGTATGGTTCTAAATCTTCAGGTTCATGACACCTACACCACCACCCCTCCCCCCTTTACCAATCCTACAGTGTCCTAAAAAAATTGTAAATAAAGGCTGTTTAGATTTTCATAGCAGAAACTGTATTTGATAATACCTGCAATTGTTTGTTGGTTGTTAGATACCAGTAAAAAATAAATTTGTAATTACTTTCATGTAATTTTCCTCCAGGTGAAGGATCATTTCAGAAAAATGCTGAGTAATACACCTGGAATTAATCGCAGCACAAGCTGGAGTGAAGTGAAAAGTAAGGTTAGCTCAGATCCTCGTTACACGGCTGTAGCCAGTGATTCTTGCCGAGAGGATTTGTTCAAGACATATTTGAAAACTCTAAAGGAAGTAAGAATAGCGAATTTTTTTTAAATTTGTAGTAATGTTGCATGTTGACACTATAAAAAAATACCAACCTCAAACCATAAAAATTGGTAACCAAGAAATGTGATCTCTGAGAAGGGCTGCAGGAGTGACCTGAAAAGATAACATCAGAAAAGTGGTCATATTAGAAAAATTCTAAATTACATACAAAGACAGTCAATCAGATTGTTTGCCCACTGAGAGAGAATGCCTTGTGATGTCAAACCATATAAGGCACACACCCAAAAAAAGGAGGACGTGCAGCACAAGGTGGACAAAGAACCAGAAGAAAAGTTAACATCAGAGATGCTCTACAACAGCACATTGTGTCAATCTCATGGCTACAAGAAGAGCATGACACAGAACCTTATATCCTCTTTAACACCTGAAGCGGTACAAGAGGAAGTGGAGACCAGAAAAAGAATATTGCTTGAGAATTACCAGGATAGTTCCTTGCTGCAATATTCGGGTTAATTTCTTCTTCTCCTGTTGTAGTTTTCGGCTAGGCTATGATTATGCATATTTTGATCCAGAACATATAATTTCGTCAGACCCTTAATTATTCTCCTACAACATACTAGTGAACTCACTGGCTACCGTAATCACACATAATGCGATCAGCGGGCTGTACCTAGGATCATTGATAAAAACCTTATTTCCTGTCTTCCACTTCTTCTTTGTCTCCATTGCTGCCTTATGCTTATTTATTGCCCTATCTGCACGGGAGGCTACTGTACCCCCGGAGCGATTTCCCCCCCCCCCCCCCTTTTCCACCCACTTCTAACTTGATTGATGAAGCTACCCCCTGACCACCACAGTAGAGTCCACTTTGGGAAACACTGTTCTAGCCACTACGCTACCGTGGCACTTACTGTTAAAAGAATGCATCACTGACTGTCCAGATCTCAAGTCTGAAAGGAGATAACAATGAAATACATTTTTTCCAAACTCATTTGTTGTGCATTGTAAAATGTGCGTCATTTTTTTTTAAATATCCAAAAACCATGAGTTGTAAATCCTTTGGCATGGTACTTTGGATATCGCAACCCTTCGGCCTTGATTCCATTATAGGTACCGTAAATCTGGGAGAAATGTGGCTTTTCTGCCTACCCCCGGGAGTGAACCCAGACCACAAGGAGTTCGTCACCCGGCCACTGCAAAGTTAGCTTTAACCAACTACACTAGCGAGCCAGGCAAAATGTGTGTCAGTACTTGGCTATATACAAGTTTTTTAGTTTCTTAGTGATCGTTGGCGTTGAGGAACAATTCTGAGGGCTCCTTGTGTCCATGCGAGAAGCACTGATCAGTCAACTTCAAGTGTACCCACATTGGGAAGAGTTTATTTCTACACTCAAACATCCATGTTGATAAAGATGACTCATGGTGGAAAGAGCATGCTCATAAAGTTTGTACACATGTTTATTTCTTTTGAAGGATACACCTGATGTCATAAGGAGCAAGGAAGAAGAAAAGTTGCCTTCATTCACCTCCAAGAAGAAAGATGAAAGAGGAGAAGGGCATCCAGCTATTGAAGACTTCAGAAACTTTCTTGCTGAGAAAGTAAATTCTTCTTTTATTTCTAGATACTTTTAGGGAATCGTTGTTTATGTATCATTTGTCCTTAGAGAAGTTTACTGTATACTGAATGTAAATGCTATGCTTTTCTTTCTTTCTTTTTCTTTCTTTCTGGGAGCCTTTGTTGTTCACAAATGTTTAGCACAACAATTGAGAAAATTGCATGATGGCTCTAATGTTTGACCCCCCCCCCCCCCCCCCCCCCCAATTCGCTCCCAAAATAAAAAACAGCATTAGTTAATGACATATCTTTATTTTAACACTACACCTGTGTTAGAAAAATTGAAATATCAGTATACCAATACAGTGCACACTTTTTTCTAGTAGTCAAGTTTCTACAGCGGTGGGCGTACCCTTTTAAAGTTAGTGGTGTCTTTTTCAAAGTAAGTGGGATGTAATATCTTAACTAATGAATTATTTCCTTTTTAATTTGAAGATTTCAAATTGTCTTTCACAGTCTGGTAGTCTTAGTTTCAGCTTCATAGCAAACGGGTCACCCCATCGTTGCTCCGCTCCTGTGCCAACGAAAAACACATAGAATGTTAATCACAGTCCCTTGTGGAAATATTGACAGACTGCTGTCTTAGCGTATCTAGCATAGACACGCATTAAAGCATACGGTAGCCATCGGAAGTGCTAACACAAACAGTCCGATATTAGAAATGCAGTTCATCATTGATGGTAGCAGAAGTCACCAACAGATCAGCAGTTGCACACACGATCAATTTTAATCACACACGGGCACTACCAACATTGCCACGACAGGCATCGCGCCATTTTCTGAATCTTCAGTTTCTCAATTAAGGCTGGGCTTAAGCCTGATCAAGTCATCCTTGTCGTTGACAGATATTTTGTACACCATTTTAAGAAGTCGACTGAGGACTCGAGATTGCATTTATTTAGCTTGTTTTCAGTTAATTTGGTTTTGACAAACAGTTTTATTTTTACAATTACCATTCAAAGGTAACAGATTCTGAAGGCTCATTCGAAAGTTTCAAGTCAAAATTTTATAGAAATCCCAGATGGACAGATGAGCTTACAGCAGTACAAAAGAAAAGGCTCTTCGAGAGTCGTGTTCGTGAAGTTAAAAAGAAATTGCTTGAAAGTCAAGTAAGTTATGATTATTTTTAATCACAGTTCATGTTTTTGTTGATTAAATTATTAGTTTCACATGTTTTTGTTATTGTTGTTGAAGTGATTGGATACAAATCTTCATCTTCTTGGTGTTAGGTTTTGTAAGCGCAAGTCACATCGTCAGGTGGGCAGCCTCTGTTACCTCACATGTCAGCTGCAGGTCCTTCATGGTTCCCCGCAGCTTGCACTGCACACTTTGCTTCTGAGGTCAGGTTTCTTTTTGTAGTTGAGGTAGAGTGGGCAGGTCTGCAGAATGTGCTTAGGTGTTTGTGGTCCCATCTGTCATGCACACAGTGGGAACTGTAGTCTTCATTTTATACATATCTTAATTGAGCCTGCAGTGTCCTGTTCTTAGATGGAAAATCATTGTATATTATTTTCTACAGAGTCTTTTGATAGGGTCTTTTTGATGTTTACTGTTGGTTTATTCTCCTCACAATCTCTTGTATTTTCTCTTGACAAGGGATTTGATTTCTAGAAATGATAATGAAAGGGTGTGTCTGTATTTGGATCTCAGTAAAAATCACCCGTAAACTGAATGGTGCCACCTTGAAATGGACCTACGACCTTTAGAGTGTGAGGCAAATGGCTTCATACTGGGTCTGGTATATTAAAAACATATTTAAAGAAGAGCCATAACCGACTGGTAGCTTCTGTTGAGTATATGCAGTTTACAGAAAGAATAATGCCAGGAAAACCCTTGATGTTATTACACCATAATTAAATATACACAGGCATTGACTGACTCACATAGAAGACAATATACACAGGCATTGATTGACTCACATAGAAGACAATATACACAGGCATTGATTGACTCACATAGAAGACATAGGAAAGAAGAATACAATAGAAAACACACATGTTGATCTTAGTACTGATTTTCAGAGATTGACTTTAGTGGACTTGAGTGTATTATGAACATATTTAAACACAAGCCCTAATTGACTGGTAGCTTCCATTGAGTATATGCAGTACACAGAATTAATTATGCCTGGAAAACCCAAGTATGTATGCCAGAAAAACAAAGAACACATATTTTGACTTTAGTACGGATTTACAAAGTTTTACTTAAGTGGACGACTGTATTACAAACATATTTAAGGAAAGAGCCCTAATTGACTGGAAGCTTCCATTAAGTATATGCAGTACACAGAAATAATAATGTGGGGAAGAGCCAAGTATGTATCCCAGTAAAACAAGGAACACACATGTTGACTTTGGTACTGATTTTAGACTGCTTATATAGAGAGAGCTTAGCAAATTTAAATCAAAAAATGTATTGTGTGTCAATACATTTGTTCTCCTTAAGGCTACATGTGACAACACAAGGGACAAGGAAGAACAAAGCCAAAGTTTGCATTCACCGTCAGTGAGTGAGAACAATGAGAGCAGTACAAGTCAGAAAGAAGCAGCTGTTGAGAACTTCACAAAATTTATTGCTGAGAAAGTAAATTATTTATTTATTCCTAGATTATTAATGCCTGGAGAATGATTACATTCAGTGCTTCTTGTGAGAAGTTTGCTATACATTAAACATTTCTTTCTTTCAATTTCATCAGCATCATCTTTCAGCAGGTCTTCTCAGAACGTCGCTCTCATCACAGCATACATGAAAGTCTATCTTTCTCTGACAGTTCTCCTGCCCTATGTGCTTTCGTAGCCAATATATCTTTAGTGTCTTGTCTATCTCTGCCTCTTTGTCTGGAAACTACCCTCCAGGCCACCGAGACATTTAATATCTTCTTCTTCTTCGTGTTCACCAGCTGTAAACTCTGGCGGAAATTTCTGGTTGTTCATCCACTTTTGGACTGCAGTCCTGTTCCAGAATCTGAGTATTGCGTGTGCATCCGTTTTACAGATCTGACTCATTTGCATGCAGACTGCTGGTTCCTTATCCCTCAGTCAGATGCACTCCCACTACAAAGGAAGATCCCATGTACTCAACTCTTACGACATGCTTTTGGGTAGGCAGTGGGTCTATTCTTTATTTCCCCCTATAATAGGGCCCCGGAACCCACACAGGGACATACATTTAATATAATATTTATTTCATTCAGTTCCCCAAATGGATTCCGGGACCTCACTGTAGGGCAAACAAGAATAGACTCACTGCCTCCCCAACAAGTATGTCCTAGGATTCGACTAAATGGGGACTTCCTTTGAAGTCAGAGTACATCTGCCTGAGCGGCAAGGAACAAACAACCGCACAAAATAAGCCAGTAAAACGGATGTACACGCAAAACTCAGGCCCTGGCACAAAGTCCAAGTGGATGACCTAGGAGGACTTTCTGTTGGAGCTTACCGCCGACAATCAAAGAAGAAAAGGATTTTATTAAGGTCTTGGCAAATATCATTTTCCCAGAACCATTATGTTTCACTTAATGGATATTGCTCATATAACTTCAACACCAGTTTTGGGATGAGATGATAAGGTTGTTTCATAATTAATGCATTCTCCATTCATCATATTTATCATAAGTTCAGTCTCTAGTGATACATTTTTCATGGCATACGTGGTGATCATAATGCCACTGCTCTGCCATTAGTAACTGAAAATATGGGCATAATGTCACTTGTGACCACATCTTGGTGTCACATAAAGGAGATTTCTTTGCATTATTGTAGTAAAATAAATAAAATAACAAAGTTCTTCATTACACAGATTTGATTGTTGATTAAATTGCATTTTTTAACATCCTTTCTATGGACATAAACAAAATGTCAGGTTCTGAGGAATTATTATATCTTCATCACCATAATCATGTCAGTAAGTATAGGTGATCCTGAATCACTGTCTCACACTGTTCCAATAATTTTACATTAGATTTCTCTTTTCTTCCTAGTTACGTCATTTGTCTAAACCGTCTTCATAGTTATCTCTCTGACTTTTTTTTTGTTTTGTTCTTTTCCCATTAAGTTTGCTTTCTGTTCACATGTATTCTATATCTTTCTTCTTCGTGCATTTTTTTTATTTATGTCTTTGTTATGTATTTTAAAAAAACATTTGTTGCATCTTCTTGCTGTTTTTGTTTTTCTTTCTTCATGCATTTTTTTCTTTCTTCTTTGTTCAGTTTTGTATTTCTTCCTTTGTGTATGTGTGCTCAGAACTATAGGCTATCAGCTTCATATTATATAATTTTGTTTAGCTCGCTCACTATTTATGCAGTTTTGTTGTTGTCATCATTTTTTTATTTTTTTTTTAAATATAAAAATTTGCAGGTGACAGATTCTGAAGGTTCATTTAAAAGTTTCAAGTCAAGATTTGATACAGATCTGAAATGGACAAAGGAACTTACTGATGCAGAAAAGAGGAAGCTCTTTGACAGTCATGTTGATGAAATTCACAGAAAGAACCGAGAACTCTTGTGGTCTATTTTGGATGAAATTGAAGTAACTTTTTTTAAATCATGGTTTATGTTTTTGTATTTAATAGAGTTGTTTGAAAATGTATTATTATGAATCATGTAAATTTCTTGTGAACTTGTCTTTGTTCAATTAAGCAGAATAAATAAGCAGAAACTCCTTAAGGTACAGACTGCTGACTGACAGAATCCATATTTACTCAACCCATTCCCTGATGGATTCCCCTTTATGACACCAAGAGAGACTGAGAGGTTATGGTATCCAGCTATCCATCTCAAGCTCAGAAGTTAATAAATATCTTTTCTTCTTTGTGTTTCGTTTTCTTCTTCTTCTGCCTTTCTAGCCCCCAATGAAGCATAAGCCCTCAATCAACTCACGCCAAGTCATTTTGTCTTTCGCTATCGCATGCAGCTCTCCCCATCGTTTTAACTTCACCCTCTAGCTTTCTTCTCTATATTTTTTTTAGATCTTCTTTTATTTCTCTGCCTCTGTGGGTTCCAGTGCAAAGACATTCTAGTTATATTGTTCTCAGGTTTTCTCAGCGAGCGTCCTATCCACCGCCAGCATCTTTTCTTCACCTCTTAGTCCACTGGAACTTTCTTTGTGTTCACCCACCAGCTGTAAACTCCAGCGTAAAGTCCTGGTTGTTTGTTCACATCTAGACTTTAATATTGTTTCAGAACTTGAGTTTTGCAGGTATGGTATTTGTATGCAGACTGTTGGTTCCTCACCTCTCAGTTGTTGATGTCCCCATTTTGCACTGGTAAAACAGTTTTGGTAAATATACAGTATGAAACAGTGCTCTTTTGTAGTTTCGTCGCCCAGCTTCTGAGTTGAGTGCATGGCGTGACACTGTGAGCTGCGTTTGTTTTTCGTTGGCACAGGAGCGGAGCATATGTGAGGTGACCCATTTGCTATGAAGCTGAAACTAGGATTACCAGATTACCAGTGCTCTTTTGGTGTCAGTTGTTGAACCTATTTCTTACTTATGCACTTACTAATTTCAAGGTTAACTCTTTATATTTATATAGCTTTCCTTGGCAACTACATGGGATAGTGTCAAAGACAAAGTTCAAGGGGACTCAAGGTTCATCAGTTATACTGATAGTGAAAAGGTAAGTATTCACAACATTGTGTTATAAATCGCCACATACAGGAAAAAAAAACCCACTACACATAATTGCATACAATATTTCCCATAACCACATGGGGAATCTTTTATTCAGAATAAGGTTAGTTTTAGTTTCTAGAAGTAGACAGCACATTTCCCTGTCGGTGGCCAGACAACCAATGATCAGTGTGTGACCTGGAAACCAAGGTCATTAAAAAAAAAAACTCTGGTTCTGTTTGGACCTAAACCCACAACCTTCCGATCTGCAGGAAAGCGTCTACACCAGGGCGACTCCCATATTTGCACTTATGTGCTGCAGTAAATCCACAGGTTGAAGAATCCTCCGTCAACACCACTAAAATGTGGAAAATATTAGGCAGTAATGACAGTGTCATAAATGTGGTTTTAGAGAAGATTTTTTAGAAAACCTTGGACTGCCCACACAGACAAAAGCAGCCCAGATGTTCTGAAAGAGATGAGGGCTCAAAGAAAACTTTATCACAAAGAGATAAAATTGTTGGGTCATATTTTGAGAAGAAAACTGGAATGTGTTTTGATCATTGTCTTTCCTTTGTTCTGTGCTGATTAAATTTTGCTTTTATTGTCTCTCTGTGATATTGGTACCAAGCATTCTAGTCAGAGAGCTTAACTGTTATCTGTGATTCTTTAATCAATTGCTTGACTGATTCAAATCCTGGACTTCTGTATTCTTCATTTTCAACTTTAACTCTCCTTTTTTTTTCCTTTAGCATCTACTCTAAGACATCTTATCCCTATCAAGAGTATTCAAAACACTGATATGGTTTCCTGAAACACTCTGCATAATTATGTATGTTGTTTGCTGTTTGTGTTCACCAGCTGTAAATTCTGGTGAAAAGACCTGGTTGTTCACCCACTCCTGAACTTTGGCTTTGTTCCAAGATCTGAGTTTTGTGTGTGCATCCGTTCTACAGATCCTGCTGTATGCAGATTGTTGGTTTCTTGCCTCTCAGGCGGCTGCACTCAGACTTTGAAGAAAGTTCCCCAATTAGTTGAGTCTTACGACATGCTTGTTGGGGAGTCAATGGGTCTATTCTTGTTTTCCCCACAATGGGACCCTGGAGTTAGTAAATTTTACCCCACCAGGACATCACACAGAGCGATAAACACCCGGTGACACAAAGTGCAACCATGCCGATGAGAATCGCTGTGGAGAGGTCCCAGAAACTGTTTTCAACTGTCAGGCTATATTGCGGCCCCTGGCAAAAGCCAGGTTGGGGTTTCAATATGGGGACAACTTCAAGACCCTGGAACCCACAGGGGTATTATTATTTGTAATTAGTGCTGTAATGAAACTATGTTTATCAATGCTTGTTTTGTTTATTTATCTCCAGAAGGTTTTCTAATTGTGCACGTAAAGTAGCAAGCACAACTTCTGTAGCTTGGGGCATTTGTATCACTATAGTAGAGTAAAGGACCCTTTTCCACACCTTTAGGCATATAGGGCTAGACATATATTTTATAGACGAATCGGAACAAGATGGGTGATGTGGTCAGCATCACGCCGGCTGCCTTTACTTCCAGAGACTGCACCGGGTACCCACTCAAGGCTGGTTTGACCTAGGAGCCAAAGTCATTTTTGAAAAAAAAAAAGTCCGGCTCTCCAAGGAGCAAACCCACGACCTTCTGATCAGCAGGTGAGCATCTAGCCGCTCCGCCACGGCGACTCCCATTTGTCTCACTATGTCAGATTTAATTACCTTCACAAAGGAACTTCTGAAAAGAGTATTATGTAAGGAAATGCCAAGAAACGTAAATGAAAAATTATGTAACTTTTAAGATCTTTAAGAATACTTTTCTGTTTGTAATTTGTCTGCTTTAATCAACAGAAACAAGCAAAGGAATATGCAGTTTATATGCATAAGAAGTATTTGAAGGCCAAAGAAGATTTTCGAGAATTGCTCAAAGAGACACAATTATTCACATTTAAGTAAGTACTTGAAAGCCATGTTTCACACATAATGGGCAAACTACTTTATGTTAATTTCAACAAGGGTGTGAGCGAAAACTATTCAAAAAGTTGATGGCAGATTACTAGAGGTAAATTGCCTGCTAAAACAGTTTTTTTTTTAAAATGTGCGTGCGTGTGTGCATGCACACGCACGCTGATGTAAATACAGCTAAAAGCATTAACTTTATACGTCTCGTAAACAGCGTCACTATAGTTAGTTAGTTAATTAGTTGTGTATCCTTTACAGGGCGTTGCAGAACCAGCAGCCACATAATTTTTTGGCTGTTGTGGTTTTTCTAGGTAAATTTTATGTTCACTATAAAGTCAAAAAAGTGATATTTTGGGGTAATTGGACCCACCCAGAAATGTTGTTTCTGCAGCTTCTCGGGGAAACATGGTTAAAATTCATTTTAAAAACCGGTGCCCATCGTTGTGAGAATTTACCCTGTGGCCCACCTCGGCGCATGCAGTCTCAGCTGCTATCTTATCTTCACAAGGACAGGCCTGTCTTCATCATATGCACCATTTAGACAGTACAGTAAAAGTTCAGTAATTTACAGTTTTAAAGATGTTTTTTCCCACATTCTTTATTCTCAGAACCAAAGAAATACTGGAACAGGGAAGCTTCTCTTTAAAAGACTTTGAAGATGCTATGCAGGTAAGTCTTGTGCAAAAAAGATTATAGTGATGTATGTGCATGGCTCACATTCCTGTTTCACACTCTCTTTATTTCCAATGGGTGATATTTGAAGTAAATAAATGTCATATAGTATATTTCTTCACCTTTGGTATCTGCACCTTTGACATCTTCATCTTCGATATCTTCACTTTTGATATCTTTACCTTTGATATCTTCATCACTGATATCTTCACTTTTGATATCTTCAACTTTGATATCTTCATCTTTGATATCTTCACCTTTGATATCTTGACTTTTGATATCTTCACCTTCAATATCTTGACTTTTGATATCTTCACCTTTGATATCTTCATCTTTGATATCTTCACCTTTTATCAAAGGTGAAGATATCAAAGGTGAAGATATCACCTTCGATATCTTGACTTTTGATATCTTCACCTTTGATATCTTCATCTTTGATATCTTCATCTTTGTGTGGGTCCCAGGACCCCAGCTGGTGCTGGGGGTGGTGGTGGACCCAAGCCTTTGAACAGGCATGTTGTAAAAGGTGGCTAAGTCGGGGTTTGCTGAAATCAGGTGTATCTGCTGAAAAAACACATCAAATAGACACACAAAACAAACTCCATCCTACACCAGATGAAAACAGAAATACAAGGCATTTCAGTGTGAAAAATATTGAGTCGGGTCAAGAACCAACATTACCACACTCCAGACATCCTTGTTGGCCTTGTCATACATGAAGCCATGCACCAGCCAGTGGTGCAGTGCCAGCCAAACTGTCTGGCTGCTCATTTCCAAACACACACACCTGCATGCCCTGGAGACAATAAACCAAGAATGCTAACTACTGGCGTGCTCTGAAGCAGCACCAGATAATCTGAACAATTCATTGCCTTTGAAATGTGAAAAATAACTTGCTGAAACTGAAATTTTTTAATGTTTTTTTTTATATTCACAGAATGACAAGAGGTTTACTGCTCTTACATGTATCAGTGACCAGAGAGACCAAATGATTCTTGCCTACATCAATGAACTAAGTGAGAAAACTCAACCACCCGACTGATACCAAAAACCTAATCTGATTTGATTGTGAATGCATTTAAAATTTATATTTCATATATGCATATTCCTGAAAGTATACATGAATGCTGTCATAGAAGGACACACATAAGACTGCTGAGAATACCTTGGACAGCCTAAAAGAGTTAATGTTTTCAAAGATGTCCATATTATGAGAAGAGAAAAAATTTAACATATTGTTTACCGCTGCATATTTTGATTTTTTGTTACCGCTGTTCAGTTATATTCTGTATGTTATACTGTATACTTATTATCTCTGCATGGGTTTCAGAGCCTGTTTTGGGGGAACAAAGAATAGACCCATTGCCTTCCTAACAAGCATATCTTTAGAGTGCATCTGCCTGATAGGCAAGGAGTCAATAGTCCATGCAGTGGATGGAGGAGATGACTAGAGGTGACAGGCGTGTAACGGTTGACTCTGTAGCAGCTGCAATAGGGTGCTCACATGGTTTTTGGTCCACTAAAAACCCACCTTGGCAGGAGACATTTTACGAATGACGCAGAAGTTGCATGTGAAGTGAAAATGTGGTTTAGAAAACAGAGCATGCAGTTCTGTGCAGCAGGTTTGGTAGCCTAATAAAATAATGGAACAAATGCATAAAATTTGGTGGGAATTATGTTGAAAAATAAAGGGGCAGTGTATGTTTAAAAAATAAACGGTTTTCAAGTTGTTATCGTCCTAATTGTTTTTTATTTTTTTTTAAACTGTTTGTGACTTACTTTTTGACTTACCCTCATAGCAGCTACAGCAAGTAAAGGAATCCTCTTCTAACACCAGGGGTGGATGGGACATGTGATGCTAGTCTTATATGTTTGTAGACCAGTTGGCACTCTGTAGGTGATGTGGTCAACATCACGCCAGCCACCTTTACTTCCCATGACATTCCTGGTGCCCATTTTAAGCTGGGTCAACATAAGAGCTAAGATCAATCCTGGGACAAACTAGAGTGGATATGAATTCAAACCCAAGATATTTGTGTAGCAGTTTGTAGACCTGACATAGCTGATTCACTTCAGTAGAATACCCTCTCCTGCAGTGGACTCCAGGGCATTGTGGCTTGTCAGGCAATGAAATAGCAGACAGATTGCCCAGAAGCTATAGTGACATGGTGCTGTCAGTTTTTGTGACTTAACCCCCCCCCCCCCCCCCCCCCCCCCCCCCCCCCCCCCAGGAGACAAAGGCATTAATAAAAACTTTATCCAAGAAAATGAAACTCAAAGATCTGATAGTGAGGCCCCCAGGCCAGGTAGATCACAAATATGAATTGGGGAAGAGATCAATGGCAGAGCAAGTAAGGGTAGTTGTGAAGCTGGCCTTAAACCTGATGGTACTACAACAGACCAGAAAGGAGGGGCAGGGGCTGACCAACACGAAGATGGGCACAGGATATAAGTGGCTCCTTGAGTATAAAAGTACATGAGGCGGGAGAACTGGCAAGAGACCGAGTTTCTTTCAGGCAGACTGTGATGAGAGCGACGTTCTGTAAAGGACCTGCTACATGATGATGATGATGATCCAAGAAAGTTAGCTGGATGCCCACAGCAAGTTTTCTTCCTAAGACTCACTTTATCGCCTCTCTAGAAGGAGACAGTGTATCATATTCAGACTAATAACAGGGCACAAAAGACCTTGTCAACATATGTTCAAGTTTTCCTGTATCGGAAACATAGATGTGTTCCTGCAACTTGGTACCTGAAAATGCTGAGCATGAACTCCAAAACTGGTACTGCATGCATGCTGCTAACAGAGAGGCAATCTGGCCTGTTCGAACCACAATTAAAACGGCTGTATAGCACATGTACAGATTTGGATTGTACAATGGTGGCCTCCTTCTTCTTCTTCATGTTCACCGGCTGTAAACTCCGGCTGAAAGTTCTGGTTATTCTTCCACCTCAGGACTTTAGTTAGGTTCCAGAACCTGAGTGTTGCGTTACATCCATTAAACAGATCTGGATTATTTGTATGCAGACTGCTGGTTCCTTGTCTCTAAGGCAGATGCACTCTGACTTCGAAAGAAGCTCCCAGTTAGTCAACTCATACGACAAGCTTTTGGGGAGGCAGTGGGGTCTGTTCTTGTTTTCCCCCACATTGGGGCCCCAAAACCCACATAGATATAAGGTCTTTTGATAAACGGACCGAAGCAGAAGGACCATGTGATGCTGACCATTTATGTTTTGTTTTTTTTCAAGTCTATCAGCACTTGATAGGTACTATGGTCAACAGGAGGCCAGCTGGTTTTTAACTTCCCAGTACTGTTTTAAGCTGCATTGTCTGGGAGGATAGGCCAATTAAGAAAAATAGACCCTAAAATACTGATATAAGAATTAACATCACAGCACACCGGGCATAGATACCCCTTCTCAAGCAGCTTAAGGTGAAGATGCTAACTGTTCCCAAAAGCGCATGCGTTCTCTTCTTCTCATTATTCATCCTTGCTGAATGGACATCTGATTCCTCATTCACACATTCTTACATGCTATTTCATCTAACCTCATTATTCATAAATGGTCTTCAGTGTCTCCTGTGTACAGTAGGAGTGATCCTCGCTGATGTGGACAGGCCACTGTAGCCCCATTATCTTGTTACTTGCTAATCCTAATTTGGTATTTTATAGCACAAGTCTAGTCAGGGTACAAGGCAATGTCCGTTTTATAAAAGAAACACAACATAACCTAATTTTTAAAATTTATTTTCAAGCCCAAAGTTGCACAAACACAAGTTTACATTTTAATTCAAGCAATATGCAAAACAAAATAATTATAAAAGGTAAAAAATACAAAATGTTTGGAATTTGGTTTTTATAATTTTTTTTTTTTAATTTAAATTAATTAATTGGAAGTCACATAAAGTAGTTCCCAAAGGAAATTAAAATATCCAAATTGGGAATAAAAAGATATGGCCTTGATAGTGAAGTGGGAGTTTAACAATCTGAGCTATTTATTTAATTGTTTTAAAAATTATTCCATAATACCCATGAGTGCGTGGCCAAGTGGTTAAGCTGCTGGCCTCTCATGCAGATGACCCTGGTTCAAATCCTTGGTACAGTGATAGACGTTTTTTTTTTGTCAGAGGCAAAGATAAAATTCTTCACCTGCACAGTTCAAGGGTGACTGAACTAGCCAAGGGCTCTAAATCATCCGGCTTCTATACCATGGTCCCACACTACCCTAACTGTGGTTCCAAAAAAAACAAAAACAAAAAACAATGGCAAGGAGTGTACGCCCTTTTAAATTAAAATTTAAGATTGAAAGTGATTTTTCCCATGTGGGTTCAGGAACTTCAATTGAGGGAAAAAGAGGAACAGACACACTGCTTCTTAGCAAGCATGTCGTAAAAAAGTGACTAATTAAGGGTTTTTAAATTAGGCTGAAATGTGATGTTTTGTGCTGATAAGCAGAGAAAAATACTGCAGCGTAGCTGTAAACTACAAGACCATGTGCCAACCGGCCCTTTTAAGCAAACAATCATTCTCTTTGTCCATGAAATACAACATATGTTATTGTGGGATCAAGGTTACTCTCTCTACTCCTTGGCTGTAAATTACAAGATCATGTGCCAACCGCCCTTTTAAGCGAACAATGATTCTCTTTGTCCATTGAATACAAAATCTGTTATTGTGGGATCAATGGTTCACTCTCCTCCTTGGCTGTAAACTCCAGGGGAAAGTTCTGGATGTTTGTTCACTTCTTGTTCCAGAACTTGATTTTTTACATGCACATTTATATACAGACTGCTGGTTCCTCGCCTCTCAGGCAGATAGATGCAATCTGACCTCGAAGGTAACACCCCTAACTAGTCACCTTATACGACCTGCTTATTCCCCACGCCAAATGGGGCCCCAGAACCCACATGGTGAGACAGTCTGCTGTATGTGTGATATGCAGGCGATCCCACATGGTGAGATGGTTTGCTGTATGTGTGATATGCAGGCAATCCCACATGGTGAGATGGTTTGCTGTATGTGTGATATGCAGGCCATCCCACATGATGAGATGGTTTGCTGTATGTGTGATATGCAGGCAATCCCACATGGTGAAATGGTCTGCTGTTTGTGTGACATGCAGGCAATCCCAAATGGTGATATGGTCTGCTGTATGTGTGATATGCTGGCAATCCCAAATGGTGATATGGTCTGCTGTATGTGTTATATGCAGGCAATCTGTTATCTGGTGACTCAAGCTGGAAACATTGCAAAAAAATGTCGGTGCCCAACACAATATGTACATTTGTGGGATTATACCTGTATATAATTACAAACAGTTTTATATCTAGTACTGCAAATAAACAAAAAGCAAAAACGTGCAAAAGTCAAATAACGACTTTTTTCAGACCCTACAATATGAAAATACATTTTGCAAAATCTGATTTACCAAAGTTGTTCAAAAACTCACTAACTTCAACCCAAGTATCCTTCAGTAAATGTACAGGTAATCCTCATGTAGCTCACCTTTTGGAGAACATCATTCTCAAGGCCCGTGGGAAAAAACTCAAATTTCCCCAATTCCTCTGTTGAGTGCTTTTTCCCCACCCAGGTTGTCCTTTTCTGTTTTCTTAGCGTTCAACGGTTGTGTAAACTCGTGCACATACTGAAAGAGCTAAACATCTGGAAAGAACAAGTCTGCTCAGACAAGCAACATCTGTCTTGGTCATAAAACTTTCCGCCTCAGGCTTTGTCCATAATGGGAGATCAACAATGACAAATTTAAAAATGTGTTACTATCTAAAAGATTAAATGAATACACAGTGGACCTAGCCACTGGGGGAGCCAGACTTCTTACTATGCTGAGACCAAAAAAAAAAAAGTTAAACGATTATTGAACAATATAATGTAATGGATAGAATCCAATGGGCAGGACTAACAGAACCTGGGACTAAAAGAACAGTACCGTGCTATGGGAAGGCAAAGAAATTACAGCCCGTGGCAATGATGAGTGCGACTAGAAAGAGCCTTCCGCGTCGCGTTAAGACAAATCTTCCCCAATTCTTAGAGCATGGGATTTTTGGACCCCTGTTGCCATCACATGTATTTAGCGTGCTTCTTCTCAGACACTCATCTCTGCAATCATTGTTTCCTGCTTTTATTTCTATTCTCTTCCTGATTTCACCTTTTGAGCAACACAGTTCGTGGTATTTCGTTCCCACAAATCTACCCCAACACATGCATCATTTATATCCCGTTTGCACACATCCTTATATTACTTCCCCAAACATTTCTTTTTCAACCTATTTTATGTTGGGAAACCTAGTAGCCCAGGTAAGTTTTTGAAAATAACCGATCTTATTGGATTTCAAATGCAAAACAGCCATAATTGCCAAATACATATACTTTCATAAAGCAGTTCAGTTAAGGAAGTGTGACTGCCAATAAACAAGATTATAAACAACTTGTTCATGGCAACACTGTGCTACTAGTGCCAGTCTTGGACATTATCAAAGGCTAACTTATGTAATTGACACCTGCAAAATGAGATGCCTGAGGAAAGCCGCCAAATTAACCATCCAAGACAAAGTTAGAAATGATATCAGACAGACTGTAAAAACAATACCATGCAAAAAATTCATTGAGAAACAGAAGATCAAATTCTTTGTTCATCTCATTAGAATTACCAACACAGTCGCTACACACAAAAAGATCTGATGTGAAAAGTAAGAGGTCGCCCTAGGAGAATATGGATTGATTACACATTAAAGAGCTTCTAAATCCACACAGAATGACAACAGCCATTTCTGCCCATCAAGCAATGGATCGCAAACTGTTCCTCCCCAAGTTGCTTAATGGCACATTTGGAAAATGAAGATTATGTAATAATACAGAGTACAAAAGTTTCACCATTTGACATTCCGACACATCAGCCGTCAGTTAAGACAGTTCTCTGGTTCTACAACTGAGACAGGTTTGCAAACACTACAGTTATGGTGCAGCACATGCATCAATAAATCAACAAAATTAACAGTGCATAGCATTTAAACAATCTCACTTTATATGACTACACTACACTACACCAATGGCAATAATTCTCAAGGTTACGCATGAAATTATAGTATGTCCTACACATTTGCATGAAATTATAGAATTTCCTACAGACTAAAAACACAAACTCACTACAAAACAAAGTTAACCATAAATTTCTGCACGGAACACCCAGTTTTTTTTTTCCTTGCGGTACGCAACAGTTGATGGTTCCGCACCGTTTTTTTTAAGGTATTTTAAGCACTATGGTAGACACTTTGTGGAAAGTACCAGTACCTTTTCTCAGAGATTCTGGTGCTGGAAACATCTCAAGCTGTTGGGAACATCTCAAGCTGTTGGGAACATCTCAATCTGTTGAGAACATCTCAAGCTGTTGGGAACATCTCAAGTTGGGAACATCTCAAGCTGTTGGGAACATCTCAGTCTGTTAAGAACATCTCAAGCTGTTGTGAACATCTCACGCTGACGTGTCCGAGGAAGGTTTTGAATCAATTAGTTTATGCTGGCTGAAATGTCATTCTTGAAATGTGTGCCATCTCTTTTAGTAGTTAGCTGGATTGTATCATGAATAGCATCAGTTAGCAAAATGTCAGTATCACAGACAACAGCCCCGTAATTTTGTCTTCAGTTAGCTAAATGTCTATAAATAGCCCCATAACTTCTGTATTACTCAGCTAAATGTCTCTCATTAACTTTTACATACGTTAGATAAATGTCTTTGTTGTGTATCACAGACAATGACTGGATAAGTGTTATGTGTAATCATATACCAGGTAACCCACCTTGAAGATTTATTTCACAGCGGAATGTTACAAAGTACACGGCTGTATGTCACAACCTTTTCAATATGGAATGTAAGTTATCAAAAACAAAAAATGAATAATGCAGAAAACCACACTAAAAAAATTATTTTTGTTTTTAAGGGAAAAATAGGGTAATGCATATAACTTCGAACATGGAATAACAATGAATATAGAAAATATTTTCTAGAAATATAAAGCTATAACTTAAAACCTTCAGTTTCTCACTGTGAACACTGAGCCATAAACAGGTTTGTGACATACTCAGACTTAAACATCTCCGAAAGAACATTAATAAGTTAGATAAGACCAAAATAAAATCTCAAAACCAAAAATTAAGGGACAAGTGTGACATCTCCATAATGGAGGTTGGCTATGTGCAATATTACAAGGAAAAGTCAATAAATCACAAATGGTTGTTTAAAAATTTTTAACAAATCTCAGATGATAACAACTTGAAAACCATTTTTTTTTACACATACACTGTCCCTTTATTTTTCAACATAGTTTCCACCAACATTGATGCACCTGTCCCATCATTATCAATATCAGTCCTCTCAAACCTGCTGCATAGTACTGTGTGCTGTTTTCTAAACCACATTTTCATTTCACATTCAACTTCTGCGTCATTCGTGAAATGTCTTCCACCAAGGTGGGTTTTCAGTGGAGGGAAAAAAAAGGTGGCAATCGCTATGGGCTAAGTCGGGGCTGTAAGGTGGATGTTCCAGAAGTTCCAACCCTAGATGGTTAATTTTCTCCTGGGTTAACCGAGCCGTATGGGGTCTTGCATTGTCATGAAAGAGCAGTACTCCTCTAGTCAGCAGGCCTAGACATTTTCCTCAAATTGCATCATAAAGCATCGATAGATCTTTTGTCAACATAAACAGGAAGCATTTCCTTGTGAATATCCTTTGCAGGTAGCCGTTTTTACCCCCCCCCCCCCCCCAAAAAAAAAGAAGCGCGCAACAGCACATTGTTCTTTGAGGGTACACTCCATAAGTACAGTCGCCATTTTATTTCTGTGTTGGGAATGCGCATGCAACACCTAGCGCTACCTAACAAACCGAGACATAAAATTCACTGTTGCTGTCACCTAATGACACCTTTAGAAACCACAAACTACATTTTCCTGCCATCACATAACCATTTGTGTCTTATTTATTGACTTTTCCTTGTACATGGTTAAGGTCCAATCTCTCTCACACTGTCATTCTGGTACCGCTGTCTAAAAGCTATGAATGAGAACTGTCTTTTTGGACAGCATGTCAAGGTTTGTGAAATAAGTTTAACAGCCTATAAATCACACAGCCATAAATCCCCCCCCCCCCAAAAAAAAAACACCATGTCAAATATCAATTTCAACGAAAAAATACAGGGTAATATGTATAATAAAACTGGATGAATGGAGGCAAGATGAATGTTATTGATTTGAGATCCGTGATAAAGACATGGAGCTTATGCTAAGGACAATGGCAGTAATTCAAACAATCTAGCAGAGAAATATTTTCATGTGACTACTTTTTATGTATATATACATACACCCACACAATACCATCATTACTGATATATTAAGTAACTATGCATCTTCCCTCCTTTCATGTTTCATCAGCAGATGAAACATTTATTCATGATCATTAAAATATTTATTTAGTATAATTCAATAATTTTTATTCTTCTCTTCAAAAAGAATTTTATAGTTATTCTGATACAAAAAAGCACTTTAAAAATCACTCATGCCAATCTACATACAATGTTAAGTACTAGTATATAAAGCAGGGCTATTCAACTGGGGGCTAATATTCCTTACGTCCTTCTTAGGACGTTATTTTTTGTTATTTGAAGCCCCACTCTGGCTTTTGCCAGGGGCCGCAATATAGGCAGGCCATAAATATGGCCAAATGTCTGAACACGGTTTCTGGGACCTCTCCACGGCGATCCTCATCCGCATGGTGGCACTTTGTGTCATCGGGTGTTTATTGCTTGTGTGATGTCCTGGTGGGGTAGAAAGTTAGTTAGTTAGTTAGTTAACTGGGGGCTTGGCCAGATATGGCCTACTCGGCCCAGCAAGTCACCCACAGATCATTGCCATCTGTATTGTATTAATGATCTTTCTATGCTGGACCTGTGGCCCCTGATGATCCTCATTTTCAAAATTGTGACCCCTGAGTGAACTTTAGTTGAATAGCCGCGATCTAAAAAAAATTAAATAAACATAAATCTGTTTTAAAACAGCACTTAAATAAAATTTTTAAAAAAAAACTTCATGAAAACTGTCAGACATCTATTGCGCTGTGTATACAACCCATTGCTCTCAGGCCCACTGCCAAGATTACACATTATACTTCAAGTTACTGTGATTATTTCTGAAATCTACAATGTCTGGGTTACCTGCCCGGCTCTTCAGGTTTTCAAGAGACCTGACCCCATGTTCTGATTTTCCTGTCTCAGTTGGTTTTTTATTCTTCAATTTTGGCAGGTCTTCATCTGGTGTGTCAACATTGTCTCCGCCCAAATACTTTTCCCTTCTTGCTTTATCATCTTCATCCACTTGTGGATCAACAGGGAAGTCTTTCACTTCTGGAAGCTTCCGATTATTGACAGCCATTTCCTGAGGTCCATACCTATTAGGTTGTCTGTCACCGACCTTAAAAGGAAACCGGTTCAAGTCTCCTCTTTTAATGTCATCTCGTTTGAAACCATCTTGGTTCACATTCTCTTTCTTAGTGTCATCAAGTTTGAAATTATCTTGGTTCCAACCCTCCTTGTTCCTTCTTTTATTATCATTAGTTTGCAAATTCTGTTTATTGGCAACTTCATCTTTGTCCTTAACCAAATTTGTATTCTGATTGGGAACACCGTCTTTCCGTCTGAAATCTTCAAACGAAGTGCCAGATTTTTTGCTGTCAAATGTGTTCTCTCTCTTTCCATCATTCGGGTTGTTCCAGTCTGGCAATTTGGGAAGTTCAGAACCATCTCTACGGGAATTATCTCCCTGCTTTTCAATAATACGATCATTTTTATTTTGAAGTTTGGAATTCGGTGATACCTCTTGTTGCAATGAGTTTCCTTTTACTACACCTTCATTCAGTCGGTACTGTGAGTGGAGTGGAGGAGGCAACTTTTTATACTGTGCGTTCTGATACTCTTTATTTTCTGATCCAGTGCCATCATTCTGAACTTTTGGCGGCACTGTCTGAGAAAACAGTCGATTATTGGCATCACCTCTCACCTGACCCTGTTGAAAATAATTATTTTCATTTTTTGTTCCATCAATTTTGTTTACTTTTTTGACATCACGTTCCAAGGGCAAAGGACGCTGGGGCCACGACTTGTACAGCAACAAAGCCTCTATCTTTTTCTGCTGTTCTTCGATGCGTCTCTGTGGCTCTTTAATATTTTCATCAATCCATTCATCGACTGTATCTTCAAAATAAAAGTTGCCCAAATCTCTCTTCACAGGAACAGATACCGCGTTGTAGGCTGAGCTTTGTTTGCTCAGTGCTTTAGAAAGGACCCTGATCTGACCAGGATTGGTGAAGTTACGGGCGACCTGGTAGTCAGACAGCCAGCCATCAAGTCGGTGTTTGATGCTGGGGGTTCCTACGGTAATACCATACAGTTCTTGCATTGCATAGTACAACTCATGACCTTTGAACCTGCAACAAATATGAACATTTATTATTGAAAAAATATTTTAAAACACACATAACATATGAAACAGACTAATTTTATAACACTTAGAAGCTTGTGGAAAAACACACACTGAGTCAAAGAAATGACCAAATCAGGCTACCAGTCTTCAACGAGTGAGACAATATTCACTTGGTCAAAGAAAGGACAAAATTAAGCTACCAGTCTTCAACGAGTGAGACAACATTCACTTGGTCAAAGAAAGGACAAAATTAAGCTACCAGTCTTCAACAAGTGAGACAACATTCTCTTGGCCAAAGAAAGGACAAAATCAAGCTTCCAGTCTTCAACGAGTGAGACAACATTCACTTGGTCAAAGAAAGGACAAAATTAAGCTACCAGTCTTCAACGAGTGAGACAATATTCACTTGGTCGAAGAAATGACAAAATTAAGCTTCCCGACTTCAACGAGTGAGACAACATTCACTTGGCCAAAGAAAGGACAAAATTAAGCTAACAGTCTTCAAAAAGTGAAAGAGCACTCATCTGGTCAAAAGAAATGGCAAAATTATCTATAGATATTCAGCGAGTGAGACTGTCGAATGAATGACAAAAATAAGCTACTTTGGTATTCAAATATTTTCATTTTTTTTGGTTATTATTATTTATGCAATTTATGCATCATGAGTATTTTTTAGTCCTACTGCTATTACGTATTATCACTATTAATTTTATCCCTATTTCCCCTCTCCCCTCCCCCCCCCCCCAATTTATTTTACTTTATTTATTCCACATCACATTTTCTCTTTTCCTATATTTGAGTTAATAATGTGACCCCCTGATGGGTATGGTGGTTGGAGTACTTTGCCCTTTGTTACTGTAGCGGAGTTCACACTGAAAAAGGCTTCGGTGGAACATCGCTGTGTGTATGTTATTCCCTTTCCCCCTTTCATGAAGTGTTTTAGCCGCAGTTCACTGAATTAATTTTTAAATCTTGTGTGACTGAAAGAATTCTTAAGTCTACTTACCTACAGTCCTGTGTGACAACAGCAGTGCCAGTTTTCTTATCAATCTCGGGAAATGATATCTCTAAAGGTCGACTGCAGTTCAGCAGTCTGCTGGTATTCATATGTATTCCCTGCAGTAGACAACAAATCTAGGGTTTAACATCTATTAGAATATTTCACTCCGCCTAGAGCAGTGAGTTAAAACAAATTTTAGTTGTCCATTGCTGCAAACCAACCTCAGAATTTGTTGATTTTTTTATTGTTTATAGTAATTTCTTTTATTAACTGCTGATTAAATTTCTTTAGCATGGCTTTCTGTGCTGTAGTTGGTAGTGAATTCTTGTCAGATGGCCAAACTATTTCTTGTATTGTTCTTAAAAAAACTGTACAATTGGTTTCAGTGCATCTCCTCCTTCTTAGCATTCCCTGACTGTAAACTCCAGCAGTGGTTGTTTGTCCACTTTTGGACTTGAGTCTTGTTACAGAACTGAATCTTTGCATGCAAACCCATTGTACAGATATGGCTCATTTTATGCAGGCACGGTGCAGTTATTTTAGTCACAGGCATGAGGGAAAGTTTAAGGCTGTTGTGTTGTGTATAAGAAGATACTCCATTCCTCACCCCGGGTGCCTGCAAGCTCTGTGTTGCTTTTATGGATCCTCATGCAAGACTCCTGCCACATGTCTCCGCTGTGAGCTGTGGATAATGGTCTATATCTGCCTGAACTATGCTAGCAGGGGATCTCAGAGTAGGCGGCCCCAGGGATGCAGTGCCCAGAAATCCTCTGGCACTCACATTAGCCCATCCCTGGGCATGGGTGATAACATAAATTGAAAGCTCATTTTGAACTTGAATGAAGTCTGCTGCCCGAGTTCACTTCTAAATGATAAACTCAGGTCCAAATGTTTTTTTAGTCCAAAAAATCCTACTGTATGACTTAGTTCAGATGTCTGTAAACTGAGACTCCTAATGATGATCTTAAGTTAGTGGCTCCCAGAGATGTAGTGCCCATATATCCTCTGGCTCTCATCAGCCCACCCCCAATGCATGGGTGAAACTGTCCATCGAAAACTCATCTGGAAACATGAGTGAAGCCAGCTGGCCAAACATCTTACTACATGATAAACCTTGGTTCAAATGTCTGTCAACTGAAAGTCCTACTGAACTCTTGCTTAGGCTCAAATATCCATCTGTCAAGTTACCTACAGCACAACTGCAAAGTTTAAAATGTCTGACCACTGAATGTCCTACAGTGTGAGAGACAAGGTTCAGATGTCTATCAACTCTCATTCTGTGTGACAAAAAAGTTCAAATGCCCACTGCCGTTGGCCTAATTTGGCAAGTGTCCGGACCACAAGGGGAAGCCATATCTGATGCATGATTTTCATTTACTGTCATGGTAGGTGTCCTGATACAACTAAAAGTTGAAGGTGTCTGATGTGCTGAGCAAGATTTTGCCCATCTGTGTTGTCATTGAAATCTTGGATCTGTGGACTGCTTCCTGTTAATCTCCAAAAGGCGCAGCCTGTGATGAGTTGGAAGCTCAATATACGGTTAAGCAATAATTATGTGCAGGATGTGACGACTCCTTGGGTGAGCCCAGGCCTAAAGCGTCATGTGTCCATTCTGCATTTATTGAAGACCCCTTGTACAACGAGGGATGCCGTTGTTCTGGCCCAGCCTTCACTTGAGGGCTGACCAGTCTGCACATGGCTGCTCTAGACTGGTTCGTTAGGGGCAACACCTTCAGGTAAAAGGATAAAGAGGGCACCAGAAAAATAAGGCTATGTCTATCCAATGAAGGCTAAGCGGAGGAACAAATGCCTGATGAAGCTGGATGTGTTGGCTATGAACAGACACAATGCTATTAGATCACTTGGATGAACGAAAACGAAGTATGCAGACTGCAGGTTCTTCACCTCTCTGACTTCAAAGGAAACACCCCAATTAATTACCTTTTACAACATGCTTGTTTGGGCGACGGTAGTGTTTCCCCCTTCGAAACCACCTTTCCATGGGGGCTTGAAACCCAAAAACATAAATATTTGATTCCCCGTGTGGGTTCCTGGGCCCTATTATAGGGAAAACAAGAATAGACCCACTGCCTGCCCAAAAGCATGTCGTAAGAGTCGACTAATTGGAAGCTTCCTTCGAAGTCGGAGTGCATCTGCCTGAGAGGCAAGGAACCAACAGTCTGCATAGAGATTAGTCAGATCTGTCAAACAGATACACACGCAACACTCAGGTTCTGGAACAGGACTGAAGTCCAGAAGTGGACGAACAAGCAGAACTTCCCACCGGAGTTTACAGCTGGTGAACGTGAAGAACAAGAAGAAGACATATTTGACGTGATGAAAAACCCCAAACATATGTACAAACCTGGGTAAAGCCTGCATTCTTCATGGTGGCTAAACACATGGCTAAACTGGGTATGGCCACTGGCAACAGTTCACACAGGGTAGCAAAATGGTCATAGCGTTGCCATCCTGTCAGAGCCAGACCTTTGAAGATCAGCCGGCCATTGTTGGCAGCTATGACATCCAGCCAACTGAATGCATAAAATATGACAATTATTAATCTATGCAAACCAACTGGCATAAACTGTGACTAGACATGCTGAAAAACAAAGCAAAGATACAAATAACACACAATCCTTTTTTTTCTTTCTAAAATACAAACAATTTATCAAATTTTTGAAGAGATGAATATTTAAACTCCCTGGTGTTGGTCACAGGGTGAAATAACTATAGACCGACAGCATCCTTACAAGTATGCTGTGAAAGTTGACTAATTAGGTGTTTCCACAGAAGTCTGCATCTGCCTAAGATGTGAGGAACCAACAGTCTGCATTCACATATACCAGATCTGTAAAATGGATTTACATGCAAAAATCAAGTTCTGCACAAGATCAAAGTGAAGAAGTGGATGAAAACCAGAAATTTCTGCTAAAGTTTACAGTCAGTAAACATAAAGAAGAACTTTTAAATAAAACCTACAACTATCTGAAAGCCAGACAACAGTCGGTTTAAAATAAACCACCCAACAAGGTTTAGGACGTGTGACAGGAGTCTTGCATGAGGATACATAAAACTGCACAGAGTGTGCTAGTGCCCCAAGTGAGGTATGGAATATCTCCTTATACACATCACAAAGGCCTTAACTTTACCTCACACCTGAGACCAAAATCATTGTTAGAGTTCTACTGCCGAGCTTTCCGTGGCTGCTGATTTCTAACTCAGCACAAACTGTCAAACAACTTAATTTGTTTTAAACCTGGCAATACCTGTAATGATTCTCAAGATGATACAGAGGCTCTGTATAAAACTGTCTTGCTCCGGTTGCTCCTTTGAACGCTGATGCTATCCACACGGACTTGAAAACTTTAGCGTACTTGTCCCATACGTCGGTGTTTATGGTTTCCGCAACATACTTTGTGTAGTGCCAAACCATAATTTCAACAAGAGAAGGTATCCTGAAATTCTGGAAACAAACAGAAATTGTTACAGAATGTATCTTTTTCTCCCTCCTTTTCTGTTCGTTACTCCCCAATGGAGCATGGACCCTCTGTCCAATTCTCTCACAAAGAAGTCCATATTTTTATACAATGTATCTTTTCTCCATTTTTTTTTTTTTTTGGGTATTCATTACTCCCCACTGGATCATGAACTCAAATTCTTACAAAGTAGTCCTATCATTTGCTGTCACATTCAGCTCCCAAGTATGTCCTCTCCATCTGTTTCACCTCATTCTCTAATTCCCTTCCACATAGGGCTTTTTTCTAGAAGGATAAAAAGGTGCCAGTACCCACCACAAAGTGATTTTTAAAAAAACCATCCTGGTACTGCCCACAAAGTGTCATATTATAGCAGTGCTTAAAGGAAAATGATGCCTAAAAAACAAAACGGTGCCGTTAGTGTGGACCCGAAGAAAGCCCTGCTTCATTTGACTGTGTGGGTTCCAGTGAAAAAACATTATAGTTATATTGTTGTCAGGTTTTTTCAATGTGTGTCTAATCCAATCATCACTGTCATCCTGCTGTGTCCTCACACAGAGCCCGCAGTCCACCACTCTGTTCTATTCCGTGCAATCCTTCTGATATCATGGATGGAATCCAGTTCAGCACCTTTGGTCTCTCTCATCACTGTTCATCTTAAGGTTTCTCTTGGACATCCTTGTTTCCTTAATCCATTTGTTTCCTATTTTAGAACCTGTTTGGTAATTCTCTGTCTGCTTCTCCCCTTGATGTGCCCAATACACTGTCATCATCTGTCTTATAAATGATGATACCAGCAGCTGCTCAGACAGTTCTCTTATTTCTTCACCTTTCTTAAATTCAACTCATTTAATGTTTAAAGGTAAAAGTAACTGTGAGAGGATCGACTTCATTGCACGGGGTTTTATCCCATATGGCTTGGTCTCTCTCCGCAGAACAGCTAGCTGCCTGCCAAGAGCACCGCACACAGCACAACCTCCGTAGCTCCAGCCATGGTCCCAAGGGATCTCAGTAAAAACTACACTCATTAACTGAATGTGCCATAGTGAAACAAACCCATGACCTTCAGAGCATGAGGAAAACGGCTTGACCACTTCGCCACAGAGACCCTAGTTTTCAATTTCCTTAGACATCGGCTTTCGAATGTAACTTTCGTTTCAAGTCTCTAGTGGTTCTCCAACTCCCACTGGCATATGTTAACAGTGAAATAACATTAAAAATACGTTAACCCAGTTTTAAAGCTGTACAGTATATTATATTTTATGGAGTTCCCTATATTTTAAGGTTCTCAGAAGCTGATGCAGCCTTGTCAGTGTGGACCATAATTTCTTTCTTTGTCTTTCCTTGGCAATCAAAACTACCACCCTCAACTGATGTGTAACTTTTATTCTTTTTCTCTCCATGTAATGTGTGCTTGATCTGTTACTGATGTTTTCACCACATTCTTCTGTTTATAACTTCTTCTTCTTCTTCGTGTTCGCTAGCTGTTAACTCCGGCGGGAAGTTCTGGTTGTTCATCCACCTCTGGACTGCAGTCCAGTTCCAGAACCTGAATGTTGCATGTGCATCCGTTTGACAGATCTGAATAATTTGTAGGCTGACTGCTGATTCCTTGCCTCTCAGGCAGATGCACTCCGAGTTCGAAGAAAGCTCCCAATTAGTGGACTCACAACATGCTTTTGGATATGCAGTGAGTCTATTCTTGTTTTCCCTATAATAGGGGCCTCGGAACCCACACAGGGATGTTTATAACGGATAAGTAACCTGACCCTTGAAGCAATATTAGTGAAATCATCTGTGTTTCTGTCCAGGTCATCACAGTTCTTACTTGGCAGAACAATATCAGCTCCAAATCTTCCAAGTGGGTGTTTCCCACCCAGCTGATGGCGGTATTTATTATCTACACAACATTTTTGTTTTCACCACCTAGTCAATAGTTATGCCAGAAAACCATCCAATGCCAATAACTGTTCATCACCTCTTGATTAATTAGAATCTTTTTTAGCACAAGGCATGTAAGTTTGAGAAAATATTCAAACCAATTATAATTTCTTTTTCAAACCATCTAAACACAGTGTAAGTACAAGCCCATAGCACATATTAGGCATGGGTAATGAATGCCACTACACAAACTACAGTTAACCCTGTCGCTGCTATGGACGAGATAACTCGTCTGCCCGGCAGACTGCTAAAGACGAGATAACTCGGCTGCAATTTTCTGTGCCCTCACTGCTAAGGACGAGATATCTCGTCCTGGACATTTTTTTTACAGATTGCTAAGGACAGTAATTCTTAGGGGTGAAATAGCAATACACATTAACTTAATCTGATCAAACTGACCCCTTTACATACAATTAAAACCCTTATCAAGTGAGTTTAGGCGTATTTAGATGCATTTCACGTTATCCTGTTTCTTTGTTACCATAGAAGCATTGTCGGTGATCGGTAATTTTTTTGCCCTGAAATATATTTCTGGTTTTGCGTTAGTCAAAAATTTTTTTTTTAATACAAAATAACAAGAATTAATTGAGTTTCTTTCAAGGAGTAGTAGTAAGGATCACTTTGCAACGTGTGAGTTATAAGAGCTGGGTTATCTTCGCGGCACGCCGGCGGACACGTGTACTTCTGGCTGTGAACAAGACTGACCAGTGACCATATGACCTAGCTATCTACATCGACTGGATTTGAAACGGATCCAAAATAATCAACAACAAAAAAAATTTGGTCACGTACTGACGTGATGATTAATATTAATGTTAATTATATACTATACAACTGATATAAATGTGTTTGTCTATTAAAGTGTACAATACTGGTCTTTTTTTCAGTTCATAGTTGCATGTGAATTTCTAGTGTAGTTGGTATCACGTCTGCCTTACAATCGAAAGGTCCAGCGTTCAACCCCTACGTGCTGTTTTTTTCTTCTTTAAATTAATTATTTAAAATGCAAATTTTTAATTTAAGCTGTTAGCATTTTTGGCAACAGATAACCAAAGTATTAATTAATTAAACATCCTGTCACGTGCGTTCAGGTGGATTTAGATGCTTTACACGTTATGTGAAGCTGGTTGGTGTACTGTGCACATTCATTATATAAAGTTGTTGTGGGGAAAAACACACCTGTTGCCGAATTTCACTTAATGTTAGTAAGAGAAATTCTACATAAATATTGCAAGGAAAAGAGAAAAAGTGTAGGAGGACAAAAAAGTGAAGATCTGCCACTTCGTTTAGTACAAAGGCATTTCCCTTCAATAATAGAGTCCGTAACATCGCAGAAAAAATTCCCAACCAGAAAGTGTGTGGTATGCGCAAAAAGCAAAAAACGACGGAAAACCAGATACATGTGCAAGGAATGTGATTTGGCATTGTGTGTCGCACCTTGTTTTGAAATATTTCACACACACAGATATTATTAATAATAATAAAAACCATGTATTTGCTTACTAAAGTGTTTTGTGTTTGCTTAGTAAGTTTGTAGTGTTTTCTTTTTGTTAATGAGTTTTCACGGCGTAGTAATAGCGCGTCTGACTTGTCAGCGCAAAGTTCAACCACACGCCTTCAACGATTTTTTATTTTAGGTGTAAAATATTTACCCCGTGCCGCAAGCGCGTCTTCTGCTTTTGAAGGAAAAAACGGTATTCAGCACAGGGGGAAAGATTAGCTCTCGCCTTGCTTAGCACAGTGGTTACGTTGGCTGGCGGAGGGCGCAGCAGCGAAAGGGTTAAAAACACACAACACAAATTCCAAGAGGCCGAAAATAAAGTTTGTGCTTTAAAAAAATGTGTTAACCAGGGACTAATAATAATATCTCTGCATGGACCAAACTTTTGTTTCTGTTAACTGAGTGCTTTTGTTAAGGGAGTTTGTGTTAATAAGGTTTTACTGTATACGGAGGAGGCATACTGTACAGTTTCTTTCTTCTACTCTTAGCAAAATTAAGTAAGGCATACTTAATGAATGAAAAGAGCTACTGCTTCCAATGCTAAGTCTCAAACTGATTCATAATAATCAAGGCATACAGACTATTTAAGGACATGACGATTCCTTGGGTGAGCCCAGTCTGAAATGAATACTAGGTAATATCTTGGGAAGTAAAGGTGACCAGCGTGATGTTCACCCCATCATCCATTGAGTGCCAACTGGTTTATGATTCACCCCCATCATCCATTGAGTGCCAACTGGTCTATGATTCACCCCATCATCCATTGAGTGCCAACTGGTCTATGAAGATACAGGTTAGCACTACATGCGCAATGTGTCAAATTTGTGAAAAAGGTTCACGGTTTTTTTATTTTGCCAGGCCCTTACTGAAGATTTAGCTTTATCAATTATGTGAAAGGTTTATAAGCAAGCTTCACTAGGAAAAACACGGGTAGTAAGCACACTTTGTATCTTTCTCCAGGCATGTCAGTGTGGCAGCGAATGAACAGGCACACAGATTGGCTGGATCTGCACCACTGGTGCGTATAACCAGATTACGACCGGTACCATTAGTGTTGGAACTTATCACTGGCTGCTTAAGATGGGGATAGATCGAGTATGAGAAGGCCCCGAGTGCTGTGATGTCAATTCTTGACTCAACTCAACTCAACATGAATGGTTCACTGCCATAAACTCAGTACATAATTCACTTACCACTATATCACTTAAAGGGGTCTTGCGTAGTTCGTCATCCCATATTACAGGTACAACTCCTCGGCCGCCGAAACTTTTAACCATGTTGCCAACACGCTTAACGTGGAGCAGAAACATCTGAGAAGCAGTCAGATTCTTGCTGTGCATCTCCACACCACTGGCTCCTTTACCCAGTTCGTACACCTCGTCACAGCCAATATGTAAGTGTGTAGCATCAGGATGAGCGGTCAGGATCTGTTAATACATCACATGATTCGAGTTAACACTATTCACTAAGAGAGATTAACAGGGGCTTCAAAGATTTTTAAACTGATTGCAGTTGTAGTGTTAATAATCTGTTAACACTAATATTTGTTTCGGTACTCCTTTAGTGCTTTGCCCATTAGAAAAAAAACACACACAGACATGCACATGCCCACACACACAAAGCAGTTATCAAAACAAAACATTGTCAACCATCACACCGACATTTAGACACTAAATTACCCGTTGTTGGTGATTGTTTCTTTTATTTGACACTTGACACTTTGATTTACATGCATGATTTCTCCAAGTTCTTGTTAACATTTCTTGCCATATATTTGGGGGGGGGGGGGGAGGTTACGTCACCTGCATACAGCCGAAAACCACTGGGCTAGTTCTTTGCTTTTCTGGCCAAAAGTCTTAGGTTTGAATCCACATTAAGATGGGATTTTTTGTTGTTGCAATTTTGACCCTAGCTCCCAGAAGACTGATCCAGCCTTAGCTGGGTTTCAGGTAATATTTGGAAAGTAAAGATGGCTGGTGTACTCGCCCACTGAATAACATTTGGTCTATATCTTCTTCTTCGTTTTCACTCCAGCAGAAAGTATGAGTTGTCTGTCTGGACTTTAATTGTCTTGTTCCAGAGCTTGAATTGTGCATGCACACACGTTTTACAGATCTGGCACCGCAGAACCCAGGCACAGAATCAGACACGAGTCTGGCATCACATGACCGATGCACCACCATCATTAAAAAAAGTCCTTTGCTTTTACTAATAAAGATTCATTCATTCATAAGTCTTTCCTTCTGTTTATAGAGATGACAATGTCTGCCTCTGGTTTGTAGACATCTGGTCCCATTCTTGACATGAACTGCATTTTCATCTTCTTCTTATGCTTTCATTTGTTGCCCAGGTTTGCCTTCCATGGCTAGTTTTGTGGGGCACTGCACAGCCTCATTCCTTGTGTGCTCCCCACTTGTAAAAAACACTCTGGTACTAGTTGTTTAGCTGCTTCTGGACTGTAGTCCTGTTCCAGAACCTGAGTGCTGCGTGTACATCCATTTTACAGATCTGACTCATTTGTATACAGACTGCCGGTTCCTTACCTGTCAGGCAGATGCACTTTAACTTCATTTAAAGTATGTAATAAAAGACAATTTATTAGGGGTCTTTCTTTCAAAGTTGAAGTGCATCTGCATGAGAAGCGAGGAATCAACAGTCTGATTACAAATAAGCTATGCCAGAAAACCAGATATGTAAAACAATGTGCAAGCAAATCTGAAGTTTTGGAACAAGACTTAAAGTCCAGAAGTGTAGAAACAACCAGAACTTTCTACCAGAGTTTGCAGTGAAGGCAAAGAAGAAGTTGTAGTTCAAGATGAATTCTCACTCTATGTGTTATGGTCACAGGCCTTTTCTTTTATCCCCTTGTATCACAAAATGTACAAATACTTCTTTACATACCTGTTTTATCATTTCAGAGATAACTTCATAGGATTCATTCTTAGTAATATCAATGACCTGAGGTGTGTACAGACTTTCCCTCAGGGTGGAGTAGTCAGACTTGAGAACAAACTCCATGTGTCCAAAAGTCTGTATCAGTGGCATCACTTTCAGGTTATTTGCTTTGGCAGTCTCCAAAATTTCCCTGATGTCATCTTTGGTGTAGGCATTTTTAGCACTGATGTATTTCAGTTTTTCAGAATAGGGAAACATGTCCTCGTATTCAATTAGCACACCTGTTGCACCTAATCTTTTCACAACGGATATGAAGTCTTTCAGGTAACTCAACTTTGGGGCTGCTCCTTTGAGATCCAGATGAACGTATCGCTCCATGGACTTCACCGTTTCAGCAACAGAAGCATCTGGGTTACGGTAGAACTTCTTTTCTTCCGTTATGAAGGACTGCTTTGCAGGAGACTTAGCATTCAAAGATGGTGATTTACCAACACCTGCATTGTTGAAATAATTCTTCTTCTTTGCAAGTTCATCCTGGAGAGGAGAAGCTATCTGTTGCTTCTTCAGGGGTGCACTATCAATATGATAATCTGGATCCCGATCATGACTGTCTTCCAACTCCTCGTGATTGCCTCCCATGTTTCTCAGCCTGTTGGTGTCATCAAGAAAATTCTGTACTTGCATAGAGTATGTGTCCTTAACTTTTATCCCTGGGGACATCACTGACCGCCATGACAGGTAGACAATGACCAAACAAACCGCAAACACGATGATAAACAGAAGACCAGGTCGAGCACGCATGTTGCCTCTTCTGCCCATCAAGTTGTAGAGGGGTTATATATCAGACAGGATGATGAACTTGTTACTGTTTCTGTAAAATACCAAAGAAAACAGAAACATTATTAAAATGCAAAAGCTTCTACTTCTACCTTATATCTCCCAATGGAACTTAGGCCCTCAACCAACCTGTGCCAATTCAGACCTTTGCTATTACGTGCAGCTCATTCTCATTTCTCTAATTTTTTTAACTAGGGCTGTATGATCCCTCCTAACCATGTGCACAAGTTCTCTTTTTTTTTTAAAGTATGTGTTTATTCATGTCACAGTATTTCATATGTATAAAAATACTTATTTGCCATTTACCCCATTCCATATTTCTACCTAGTTAAATAAGAATTGAGCACACCACATGTTTTATATATGTCAGTGCCCTTACGTGTTGCCGTGATGGCTTCTACTGCAATACTCTTAACTGTCTTACTGTCACGTGTAGAAATGATGATCACTATCGCCCTGTAACACCCTAACATCATTTGTGTGATAACTTACAACATATAATAGCTGGAGGTATGAAGGCAGCACCCATTAGAAAACTGCAGATGATTACATAAATATGAACCAATGGAGGGTAATAATCTCTAGTAAAAGGAGAAATTGGCAGATCACCCTATATACCAGGTCTCATAAGGAGAAGATTAAAGCAAATCAACTTCTTAATATCAGGAAATGGAAAGATCAGGAAAGAGTATAAGAATATGTATATGACATAACAGTTAAACTAAAATAAATACAAAGATCCATCAGCCTGAAGATATAAGAGCTTCAGTCAGACAATAAATATTTTGGTGGGGGAAAAAAAAAGGGGGGGGGGGGGGGGGGGGGGGGGGGAAAACTAGTCTAATAAAAGAAACAGCACAACATTAATTAATTGCTACACTATTTTTCCTTTTTTTTAAATTAAGGATGTGGGACAGAAGTAATACAATTAATAAGTTGGACAGAATAATTTGTTGCAATAAATATCTCTAAACGGTGAGATATGCTGTTGATTAATCCAACAAAAGTACAGCAACTTTCTTGGTATAAAAAGAGTTAAAAGCATCCTTTCAAGATTAATATCTCAAATTCAAAGGGTTAGAATACAACTAATCTGATCTTGAGACAAACTGATAAAGCTGAAAATGTTTCAGGAGTACAGTGATTTTCTACCTAAAGGTAAGAAAGAAGGTAAAGTCGGGATATGTGAACCAGCCTCATTGCACACGGTTATAAACCATAAGTGCTCTGCCACCAGTATAGACAGCTGATAAGAAACTGTCCGCCTGGATCGCCGTCCGCACGTAACTCTGTAGCTACAGCGACGTTCTTCCATTTACCCCAGAGTGTTAACTCTGGTACCCATTTCCTAGAGGCTGGGTGAACCCCGAGAGCTGCCCAGTTTCGTTTCGAACACCAACTGTGGCTGCAGCGAGCCGCAGCTGGCTTTGAAAGCGAGCCTTGTATCGACTGCGCTACCGCAGAAACAAAATTTAAAAAAACCTGTTATATTTACAAATTATTTTTAGCATGTACACAATTTTGAAAGAAACACTACCACAAGTGAATACTTAAACAATGAAATATTAATTACTGTGACAATTTTTAAAAAATGAACATACACACACACAAAAACAGTGACAAACTTGGAGCTGTCAAAATGAAATTCCCAGGGTCTGTGATTATCAATGGAGATATGAATCTGCATACTGTCTGTCTGAATTAACTTACTATGAATAGTTAGACCCAAAAAATCTATACTGCCAAGTTGTAACAGTATATGTTTCACATATTACTAGCGCAATAGACGCAGATTTTTAAACATTACTTTATCAACATGCAATGTACCTATTTGTTACAAATACACAGATAAATCTACAATCAGATGCTAAAGGAGCACAGTTCGTAACAATAGGTTTGCATCAAAATGGATTATTAAGGATTACGTTTACAAACAACCTGTACTAAATCCCCATAATCTGACTCCATGTCACTATAATAATTGTGATTTTTTTTTATTGCATGACCCACAATTCCAAACCATTCTTAGACATTTGCTGAGAAGTGGGAGTACATGATTTTTTTTTTTTATAAATGGCTAGAGGAAACCGAGTTAAAACAAACATGAACAAAACATATCAACTTCTGCCTTTCATCTCTCAATGGAACGTAATCCTCAACTAACTCATGTAAAACATTTTAAAGACTTGTACACTGATAGTTGGATTTTATAGCTGCAGTTTTCTAAGGAATAAATTAGCTAGTTTCAAACTATTTGTCCTTACAAAGACTCCAGTACATGCACGGTAGGTCACAGTGTTACTATTTATGATTCCCTTTATGGACCAGGTAACGCACTGGCTGGTTTTAACTGCCGTCATCTGTTAAATGACACATCCAAATAATGGAGAGTGAAATAACTCAACACCTGTGTGTTACCAGAATCCTTTTGGAAAGCAGATAATAGAACACACATTATAGCCTACTAGGAATGTAAAAGCAAAGAGGCCCCCAGGGCTACGGTTCAGCTTGGGGTTGGCTGCAACGTCCTGTAAACTAGCACATCTCCTAAAACCAACCAACCATAAACAAGTCAAATAAAGGAATAAATAATAATCAACCAACCAAGATAGAGGACTTCTATTTCTGGACTGTTGCCTTATTCTAGAACTTGAGTTTGACAACCACATCTATTGTACAGATTAGCTTACTTGTTAACAAACTGTTGGTTCTTTGCCTCTTAGGCCTTTGCACTTCAAGTCTGAAGGAAATATCCCTAATTTATTGCCATGTTTACTGAGATGGGGGTAGTGAGCTATTCATTTTCATGATCAAATGGGGCCTTGGAACTCACACAGAGCAGTTCAGCTTGCCCTATTAATAAATGTCTGACAGTTAATGATGATCACTGTCAGTGTCTCATGTTAGTTTGAAAGTTTAAGGTATTGTGTTCATCACTTGATATCAGTATAAATTTAGTATTGTAATGTTTTACAGGCTGCTCTCTGACTAAGTGTGTGTACTTTTTTTGACGGATTGTCTCCTTCTTCGTGTTCACCAGCTGTAAACTCCGGAAGAAAGTTCTGGTTATTTATCCACCTCAAGACTTTAGTCTTGTTGCAGAACCTGCATGTTGCGGGTACATCTGTTTAAAAGATCTGGCTTATTTGTATGCCGTCTGCTGGTTCCTTGCCCCCAGGCAGACGCACTCTGATTCAGAAGGAAGCGCCAAATTAATCTACTCATATATGCTTTTGAGAAGGTGGGTGTTCTGTAATGCCGTTCATACCGCATGATGTATATTTCAGCATGCCAGCGCTTTTAACACTACAAAAACATGTAGAAACTGGGTCTAACTCATCCCCCCCCCCCTACCAAGAGAGTGCTGCAACCTATGTCACAGGCATTCTCTTTCTTGGAAGAAAAACGTAAATGCAAGACAAGCCAGAAAGCAAACAGAGCGGCACACGCATAACCCCCTGGAAAGCAGACCAGTCCAAAAAAGTTATCAATGGAACGTGACCTACTTTGTTTGGGGAGACAAACATTGAACTAAATAGTTAAATAATAAATAAAGCTAATAATAAAACATTAAGTTCAGCACACCTGACTACCAGAAAGGGAAAGACCTCATTAAACAGCAGACAGTTAACATGGTGACCCAATATGATGACGACCCAGGCAGCCCAAAGTGACCCAATGGCACACACAGTGCTATTGGTCTATTAAAGCAAAGGTATTTACCCTTTACATGCTGAAGCAAAACATCCCATGTCTCATCTGCTGGTTTGCTGGGTATATTGTCCCAAAGTTTGTCACTGCTTTCTCAACGGTTCGTCCAAGCAAAGCAGTCTTTAGTCTCCTGCATTGTAGTGGACTATACTATCGGCTCTCCTCCGAACTTCAACCCGATATTATGGCTGCCATAAAATATCCTTATGGAGCTCAGTTCTATTAAAAATATGCGGGCTCCGTATAACAAAACAAATGCTCTAATAGGGTCTCAGTGATATGTTACTTGCAGACCTGTTACTGTGACTATGCCTCACCGCCGACCGTATCCACCGCGCAGCTAAGCGCGGATGGGGGCTAAACTAGATGGCTGGGACTCACGAGCAGCAGCTACCGCATCTCCTACAACTTCCTCCAATTAATTTGCTCGTGAGTCCGAGGCACCTAGTTTAGCCCCCCATCCGCGCCGTGCGGAGCGGCGCGGGGGATACTCTCGGCGGTGAATTTAATTGCATTTTGCGCATGCTATTATCGTCTGCTACTATCGTCTGCAGAAACGCTTACAATTGTCAACGGTCGCTATTATCCTATTATCGTCTGTAATGTTGCGTCTCTTGAAATTATCAAGTAATCCGTTTTGCCGCAATTTGACTAATTTGTTCCTTGGCAGAAAGTCCGCATTTCACTATGCTTGAGCCCCGTAAGGATATTTTATGGCCGCCATATTATCGGGTTGAAGTTCGGAGTAGAGCCATACAGCTCATACTATCTATACTAATTTACTTTATTTAGAATAAAATAATATTTCTTTTACTATAGTAATAGGTGGCAGACAAAACAAAATCAAAAGTAAGCTGACATCCGTTTGCTTGACTACTGTCCTACTCTTAACCTCGACAGCTCCCGATGTAATATGTATCACCATGTTAACTGTTAACTATATACAGATATAAGTCTACCCTAACGGTTAACCATGTATAATTAATTCGCAACAGGATCAGGAAGCGACATTGCCTTCCTCTACACAGCGGCCAACGGAAAAAGCACAGGCAAAAAAAAAAAACTGACTCTTCGTCTTCTTCTACTCAACCATTTCACTGCGTACTTACAGTTTAGACAATATCACAGTGTTTTTATATGTGGAAATTACTGTCAGTGCCCTTAAGCGTCAAATGCGTTAACCTGGGCACAGGTAGAAATAAAATAAAGCAGCAAATTGATGTATCCTATACTACAACCGCAATTGACGAAGTGACAAGTTATCGCTTGTT